TAGGCCAACATCGATCGCGCCGCACACTCGAGTCGCACTGACGGTGATCGTTCGGTGGAGGAACCAGCGCTTCGTTTGAAGCAGTCGCGACGAAAATGCAAACGGAGCCCTAACGACGACTTGCTGTGCCACTTGGTGATGTCACTCGCAGCCCAGTCCAAGCGCCACCCCACGGTAACCCAATCCTAAAGAAGGTTGTCATGTACGGTTGCAGGTCCAAGCCACAGCCGCCACACAAACGGATCGCCCAACGCCCCGAGCCGAAATCACCCCGTTTCAAGGGACTGCAGATCCCGCTGTCGCGTTGACGTTCAACGAGCAGTACATTCAGTTTATCCAGCACTTGTCACAGGTACGGCACGATCGCATGCGATGGTCTCGAGAGAGGATCCGCAGAAAGGCCGGGACGTGAACAACCCATTACCCCCCACTGCAGACGCAGCAGCACACAGAAAGCACCGTGTAGAGAACGCATTGCACGTCACGGTAATCTCGATGAGGAACTTGTCGGGACTGCCCTGTTGTTTTGTTTTCAAACGGCTCTCGGTGTGGATCTCACGGGTGTCCAGGTGTGCCAAGTGTTTTCGAACCCAAAAATGATCGCCACGATTCGTGACATTGTGTTTGCCAAGTTGCAAGCCGAAAGTTCATCGGCACGAAAGAAGCCTTGACCCCGAACGAACACTCCTTTGAATGGATGAAATGACGACACGTGCATGGCGAACTGTTTGTTTTGAACCTTCCTGTGATTGACGGTGATAACAACAGAGTGCGCAGGAGTCCCGAACACACTATCTTAGGAAGGCAGGTTGTAGGTCGGGGGCTTTGCGGTGCACCAGACATTAAACATACCGTAGCAGCAGCAGCCCATTCGCGCCACACGTGGCTTACGTCAGCCAGACCAGTCTGGAGCACGAGGCATGGCTCGGCGTGCGTGCGTGGTCTCGGATCCATGGCGATTCTTGATTCCCACTGCACGAACATCGTCGCCAACGACGACACGGCACTTTGCACTTGTTTCACTGTGGACGAGGCGTTTTGATTGGCCACTGGAGAACTTGCCGTCGATTTTCCGACCACCATCGATCGAGATGGCCACGAGCGACCATGGTGTGGCCGAGACAGCGTTCGACGCGATCCATTGTAAAATGTACATGAAGGAATGGGGTATGGCTACATGTGACTCGATTTGTCTAGATCTGCCGTCAACCAAGACTACTTCCAAGACCCATTTGCATCGCTATTTGAAAAGAAAGCAGCCCGGCGCATCCCGCTGGTCCGACCATCGGCTGGGTGAATATCGACTCACCCCTACGTGCTAGATTCACCGCGGGTACTATCTTCGCCACTTAGCCGTGGAGCGCGCTGTGTCGCTGTTTCTTCAAGCAGCTACGGACAATTGTCAACCAGCACAAATCGTGTCGCTTGGCGCAGGCTTCGACACCCTCTTCTTTCGCCTCGTGTCCGACGCTCGCCACTCGCCCGTTCATATGTATGAGGCGGACTGCGACACGATTTCGTCGCAAAAGGTCGCGTTGGTGCAAGCAAACCCGTCTGCCTTCTTTGGCTCGAACGGCCACATCACAACCAGCGACAAGACATCGTTGTCTGCTACTGTTCACCACGAGCACAACGGCACCGCGTCGACGTACTCGGCCTTTGCGTGCGATTTGGGCAACATTCCAATGCTCCAAAATCAGCTGACAGCCTACGGTTTGGACCCCTCGCTTCCCACGTTGGTGTTGGCCGAGTGCGTGCTGGTATCTCTGTCAGTTCCGAGTGCAAAATTGACAACTCCATGGTTCTTTCACAGGCGTACTTGGCGCCCGCGGCGTCGACAGCGCTGTTGAAGTGGGCATGCGCCACATTTGCCGATTGCATGCTGGTCACGTACGACCCCATCGGCTTGGCCGATGCATTTGGACACCAACTGCAGCGGTACTTTGAAGCAAAGGGCTGCACGCTACGGTCAGCTTCAATCATGGCCAGCATCCCAACGTACACGCGTCTGCTTCGGCATGTCGGCTGGCAGTGCATCCGCCTCGACGCGATGAATGCTATCTATGATGCGTTGACGGACGCACCCGAGCGAACTCGGTAGTGTCTGCTCCCATGCAGTGATCCGGACTTGGTGATGGAGTTTCGTAGGGTGGCCGGTCTCGAACCCTTCGACGAGTTCGAAGACTGGATATTGACCAACCATCATTACGGCGTCCTCGTCGCGACAAACCAGATCATTCTCCAAAACGGAGCATCGAAGGAACGGCCAGCGTCGGCGGCTCTCGAGGCTGTGTTGAAGTGGCCCGCCACTGCGGCGTCTCTAATGGGCACGACCACGTCGCACCAGCTTTTCTCCTCCATTATTGTGACCATTCGACCGTTCCAAGTGGGCGACGAGCGCGACGTCCGTCGCATCTTCGAAGCCGGGCACTTGCCGACGTCGTCCAAGTCGGTGCGAAAGCTCGTGTCGAAGGCGCTTCAATCTGACTTGGCGAACATTCCACAAACGTACCTGTCTCCCGGATCGTTGGCTGGGTTTTGGGTCGCGACAGTGCACGATGCATCAACGGACGGCACGTCCCATGAGCACAAGCGAAAGGTCGTTGGGTGCGTGGCGCTCAAGCCCCACGACGGCGCCGAAGTTGCCGAGCTTTGCCGTCTCGCCATCGACGCGTACGTGGCATTTATGGCATGAGATGTAAGTTGAACGTGACTTGCGAGTAGGCAGTCGCGGCGACTCGGGATTGCGTCCAAGCTCGTCGATGCGCTTGAGCGGCATGCGTTTGATGCGTGCGGATACCGTGCCATCGTCCTGGATACGCTGGGTACGATGGAAGCGGCAAAGATGTTTTATGCCGGTCGGGGATACCACCTCGCATGCTCGACGACTGTCGGGGTCGAAGGGCTTGTCATCGAGTCGTTCAAAAAGGAGCGAAGGCACTGAACGACACAAAACCTTGGTTGAACACGAGGTCTCTAAACTGTACCGAGTGAAAGCGTCGCAACGACTCTACAAATCCTGGCCGCGATGGTGGTGGTGGTGGTAGTGGGTGACAGGGTTATCGTCTTGGTTGGATGCCAGAATGAAGGAACAGGAGGACGGATGGAGCTTCGGTGACCGCCAGCTTGCTTCAGGAAACCGCCGTCGCCAGATTGTCGACTCGCGGTGTTGTGCCTGGTGGTCCGCCAGGATGTCCATTTGCAGCGCGCTGGGGAGTTTACTCACGTGGTGGTATGGCTGGAACTGTTGTGTCCTGGATTGCTGCACACATGGGCCGCCGTTGTGGTGTTGCGGCGGCCGTTTCCTTCGACAGCTGTCGTCACGGCCTCCTGGATGTGTCGTTTGACGCAGCCGGTCTCGTTCGTATCGGTGGATATCATTGTCGTCGTCAACAATGTCTAGCTGGTTGTTGCCTCCAGCAGACCCACCACAGAGCCCGTGGCCGCGGAGGTTGGACAGCATGATCGCCGAGGATCTTGTCCGTGTGCTGAGTGGCAGAACGTGTTGGTTGAAAACTCCCACTCCAAGAGTTACAGTCGAAACGGACCAATCACACGCAACGATTTCGCGTCTAACCAATCATAGACGAGAGTCCTGCTGGGCAGGGAAACTGCACATGCCGGGCTTTCTCTCGTCAGGATCACGTTGATATTTCGCACGCGTCGCGCTCGGCGGCATCTTCCTGCATGCGGCGTGGGGCTCCATGGTGAAGGAGAACGGGGAAGTGCTGGGTAGCAAGTACACTGTGGCAACCGCGTCTGGTTTTGTAGAACCTTCGAAATTCGAACGGCCAATCAGATCGTCGCGTCGAATCGACTAGCCAATGGTAGCTCGACTTGAAGGTATTTTTTCGAAAATACCGTTTACGGGTGTTCAACTTGATATTTGTATCGGGCGACGACCAAAATATTTCTCAACAGCGGACTAGTCGAGTTCTCCCATTTCCAAATTCCTCGTGTCCGCCGCACATTGTCGCTCGAGAAAGCATGGCGGCCGTCAACGTGAACGCATTCAAACCGGTGGAAGCGCAGCTCGTTTTGTCCCTCGATGACTTGATCAAGCAACGCCGCGAAGCCAACAAGTACGAAAGCAAGGCTGCCAAGAAGGGCGACGTCGCAAAGTCTGGAAAACAATCGCCCAGCAAGGCCAAGAAGGCGAAAGGAGCCAACACTAACGCGACGCCACTTGCGAAGAAGAAGAAGCAAACGAAAAAGGTGGTCGCGAAACCAGCCACCCAAGAAGTGTCGGCCACTACCTTGACTCCCAACCAGCGCAAGCGACTGCGCAAGAAGAGGAGCAAGGCCGCCTCTGCTGGTGACGATAAAACCACCGACACCCCTAAGAAGGTTCAAAACAACAACCAGCCCATGAAACAGCAAAGCGTCAACCAGCCCAACAAACACCAGCCCAACCAGCCCAAGAAGCAGCAAACCATCAACCAGCTCAAGAAGAAGCAGCCCAACAACCAGCCCAAGAAGCAGCAGCCCAACAACCAGCCCAAGAAACAATTAAACCAACCGTCTCAGCAAACGCAGCAAAAGAAGAGGAATGTTCAAATTAAGGTCCATCGTGGCAACGGAGGCACGCTACAAAAGACGATCTCTCCTTCGAACAACAAGACCAAGTCAACACAAAACCAGGACAAGCGCAACGTCCTCTTCAACGTTACCATGAACGGCGTCAAGGGTCTGTCCCTCGGGAAAAAGAACAAAGGCAACAAGGAGCACCCGGTGAAGCGATTGCTTGGCAACCACCTCGTGGGGAAAGGGGGAAAGTACAGTGCGGGTAAGGGCGGCGTGGGCAAGCCCAAGATGGCCCTGAAACGTCGCGGCAACAAAAAGGCCACGTAGATGGCCATCTCGCTGGGAGGACGAAGTTTTGATCCATGCTGCACCTTTGTAATTATAATGACACACGAAAGAAGAACTCCGGGACGCGGCATCACGTTGCGCTGGCGACCTCGAGGAAAATGTCAAGCGGTGTGTCGATTGGGGCCTCGCTTTGCGTCTTGATGGCCTGCACGAACTGGACGGGATGAGCGCCAAGAATCGTCGACAACCCACTCTCCCATCGACTAGCGGGGTCTTCCATGCATGGGGTATAACGGATCGGCAAGAACGTCGACCGAATGATCTGACCCACTCGACGAGCGTGACGCCATTGCGTTGACATCGTAAAGTCGTCGATGGGGAGGGAGTTATTGCAGCGGCGGTTAGACTGTTCTCCTTCGTGGGAGGAGCACCTGCACGAGCTTCGTTGGACTTCTTGCGCGTTCTGCAGTCAAGGGTGATGTTTGGCATTGTGGAAGCGAGTGACGCAGCAGTGTCCATTTGTCGGTGGCGATTTTAGAGCCGTGCAACGACGTGGATCTCCTTGACACTCGAGCGTGACGTTGGTGCATGTGGGCGATGGACGTTAGCGGATGAACTGTCGATCCCGTGGAAACGTACTCGCGGACAGACATCATCCGTTGCTACCGGCGTTCCTTGCCAAAGGCCACCCAACGACAGTTCCTTGCTAATTGGAGGCTCCATTGCTCAGCAATGGAATCGCACAATTTGATGCGATCGTGTATCGGCGGGTCGGATCTTCTTGCACACATTCGAGGGCAAAAAAACACAAGTCCAAAGCGACGTCGATGCGAAGAGATGGCGCAGCAACCTGTCGCCATCCGATATGCGGCAAGAAAGACACTTGAAGATCATCGCGCGTCCAATGCCATGGCGTGAAAGGCGGTCAAATCATCCGGCTTCAAAACGATTTGAACGAGATCCCCCCACCACGCAACGCTCCGACGATCGTGTTTCGCTCTGGCAGTTGCTGCCGGGTTCGTCATATTGCTCGCCAAGGCGTCGACGGTCGACGTGAGCGACACCGCTGCTGCATGGCACCTGGTTTGCGTCCAGAACGACAGCAACGTGCGGTTGGACGCGATGGTGGTGTCTTGGCCGAGCTCTCCACCCGGGTAGAGGCGACGCATCTTGATCCAGTTGAACGGGCTCAGTGTCCACAAATTGGGCACGGCGAGATCAAAAGCGCCACTTGGACTTGGCGAATTACACCATGAGGATTGCCAACGCCGCGCTGATGCAGTCGGAAGACTTGCTTTACGACTTTGGAACGTGGAGGGTGTCAGTCGGACCTAGTGTCTTTTGCAGCGTAGCCGACACGACCATCCCAGTGCATGTACGCAGTCGGGTGTTGCAGAATGAGCACGTCGGCACACAACTCTGACAAACGACGGGCTTCTCGATCGATCACGCGATTCCAGGGTGGAGCTCAACCGCTGACATGAATGAATCCCACTGATCCGACTTGCGCCAAGTGCTGAGTTACGAAGTGCGAGAATGCTGTGAAGAAACAAGCGCGAACGGGCACCACGGCGACCGCGATCCGATGGATTTCAACCACGTGCCAGCTTTTGCCGACTCGTCGGCTGCCGATGTGGACATGTGGTGAAGGAGGGCAATGCAACACTAGCATCCGTGCATACGCACGGTTCATGGCGATCCTTCGTCTTCACGACATGCCGTCCAAGGCGGACCACGGCGCAATCAGAGGCACCCAAGACGGCGAATCCAATCCCAATATGGGCATTGGCGCGGTTATCAAGGAACAAGTGCGGCGTCCTTGGGTTCTTCACGCTGTTCCACATCAGATTGTTTGCCAACGACGTGCACTAGCCCGCACTCTGCCTTGGGGATTCACTCTTGCCACCACCATGCGTCGATCGACGTTCGTGGGTTCGTAGGCAACGTGACGCCTTCATATTGAGTCATATACGTAACTGCGTCATCCCTCGTGGACGCGATTGCTTTGCATCGTGTGGTTGAATCTCACTACAGGCCCAACTCTGCTCAGTCCGTTGTGGATATCATCATACTCTGTGTCGAACGTCCAGATTCACTGATGGTAACGCAAGTTCACTAGTGGAGGCGCATCAACACGCACATGCTCATCGAAAGCAGATCGGGCTTCATCCTTCTTCAAGGGCCGACTTCAAGGCTCGTCCGTGGTCGTTGGTGCGGTGGGCGACGTCGCATTCTTCGCGCACTTCTTGCTTTCACACGAAATTTCTGAATGATCATGAAAAAGAGAAAAACTTCATACAGTTCGTCATATAATTTTATCATGCGTTAAAAATGACACCCCCCGCTCGCATTTTTGATTTCGATGAGCCGAACGTCAAGCAAGTTCAAGGTAGCGCTGTGCCAACTGGCCGTCGGCGACAAGAAGCCCGTGAACATCCAACGCGCGAAAGCTGCTGTCGAAGAAGCTGCTCGCAATGGCGCGCAAGTGGTATCTCTTCCGGAATGCTGGAACTCGCCGTACGCAACGTCGTCGTTCCCCCAATATGCCGAGGAGATTCCGGCTGGTTCTCAAGTGACAGAAGCGGATCACCCGTCGACCCACCTTATCCTGTCGTTGGCGAAAAAGCTCAACATCTACTTGGTCGGGGGAAGCATTCCTGAACGTGACAACGGAAAGATCTACAACACCTGTGTGATCGCAGGCCCGGATGGATCGTTGATCACGAAGCACCGCAAGGTGCATTTGTTCGACATCGACGTGCCCGGCAAGATCACATTCAAGGAATCCGATACGCTTACTGGAGGTAGCCAAGTGACTGTGTTTGACACCCCTTGGTGTAAGTTTGGGGTCGGCATTTGCTACGACATTCGATTCCCTGAATTGTCGATGCTCATGAAGGAAGCGGGCGCCAAATTTCTCATGTATCCTGGCGCGTTCAACCTCACGACGGGTCCCGCACACTGGGAATTGCTCCAACGTGCGCGAGCGGTATGATTGCTACAACCGTTGAAGCCCTCTGACTTGCTGTAGGTGGACAGCCAATTGTTTGTGGCGGCGACGTCTCCCGCTCGCGGCCCCGAAAGCGGGTACCAAGCATGGGGTCATTCGTCGGTTGTGTCGCCTTGGGGCGACGTGGTTGCCACGACGTCACACGAAGAAGCGATCGTATACGCCGACATTGATATCGAACAAGTGGACGAGATGCGTCGCAACATCCCCACCGCGATGCAAAAGCGCACGGACCTGTACAAGCTCGTTGCCAACTAGACAAATGCATTGGGAGGGTGGTCCACACGGAACATTTCTGCATGGGGTTGTGTTGCCTTAATAGATAAAGTCGGACCGTTGGAAAAGCGGCCGCGCACTCATGAGGATGTCAAACGACACGGCCAAGCCAATGTGGAGGAGCACATCAGCGCCATCGCTCACATGCAGCCGCTGCTTGGACAAGTTCATCTGTGGCACACTCATGGCACTCGTCATCAGCAGCGCCGGCGACAGTGCCGTGGCTGCTCCTGCGCCGCCCGAGACGAATTCGTCGCTGCGTCCACCGGCGACGCTGCACAGCACGTTATGGCGGTACTTGTGGTTGACAAGTCCGGACGCAATCGAGATCGACGTCGTGATCTTGCCCTGGGTCAAGAGTTCGCTGAGCAGCTGAAACTCGTACCGCCGCCGATGTTTGTAAAACATCCCAATGCATTCCGACGGTTGGCCGCGCGGCAGAACGCGGTACATGGCTACCGATGGCTTCCGACCGCTTTGTTTTTGAAGCTGGAGCGACAGCAAGGCAACGGTGGGGTAGCGCACGTCCACGAGAGCCCACTCGGTCTTGGATATCCGCGAGATTTGAAACAACGCTTTGGCCCCAAAGCCTGCCACGATGCACTTTTGGTACTGCTTTTGCGCGTTGAAGTGAGTCTTGTCGAGAGTGTACAGCTATGGAATGGCCATCAAACACCGCATGGACGAGCGACATACCGTGTCGGCGTAGAAGACAAGGAGCGATCGCGACTGCATCAGGTACATGCATAGCACCTTCTCGACGGACAACTGGCAGTCTACAAGCGCTGCGCCGGTATTGGGGCCGTCGAGCGATGGTGACGGGGTGGCGACTCCAGCAATGTGACTGGCGAAGATGGCTGTGCCGTGCGCAAAGAGCGCACAGAGGCAGTCCTGCGATCCGTCGAGCGACGTGGGCTCGGTCGAATTTGAACTGTTGTCGACTTCGTCATCGTCTACGGGCATGGGGGTCGGGGCGTCCTTGCGGTGCGCGGGAGGTAGCTGCCATGCCCCGTGGTTGGACGCCCCATGGACGAGAACTTCAAAGATGGCACGGAACGAATCAATGCGCGCAAGCTTGAGAAATGTCGGGTGGGCGGCGAGATGGGGAATCTGAACAAGGTCGTTGAGAGCGATCGCGAGCTCCTTGGACAAGTACTCAATGGACGCAACCGCGCGCCGCATTGCCCCCGCGAACGAATCTTCAAGCAGCTTGGATACGTACAGGGCGCGAATCGGACTTTCAAACATGGGAGTGGCGACCATGGTGCGGATGAACTTGCGATAGTCGCCGTAGTCGATTTTGAATTCGTGCGATAGGTGATGGATCTTGATCACGAACGTGAGCGGCGTGACGTATGAGTAGGTCTGGTGCTTGATTTGCTTCACCACAACCTGAATCATTTCGTCTTTGGGAACAAGGGCGTGCCGATAACTCTCTGGTTGCATGTTAACACGTGCGGCAGTTGGAGGGACGTACCAATGAGGCCGTCCTTGGTCGAGTGGATAGAGCATACATACGTCGGGGCAATGAACCAGTCTTCAATCTCCATGGCGGCCGTGAATGAATTCATGGGCGACGACCTGCTGCGCTCGGCCGCTGTGGTCGGCAGCGACTGCGATCGTGTCGACGATGCCGGCGCGGGTTTCGCACTCGAGAGTTTCCTTTCGAGACCGACGTTCGTAGGTGTGAGAGCAATTAAGCTCGTGCTGCTTGTGCGAGCGACATCGATGACGTGTTGGAAGTGCTTGTTTGTTGGTTTGTACATCGCCGCGGGGGCGGAAGATAGAGGCCGAGTGGCGCCGCCACCTCCAGACGACTCGCCGTTCGCCATCCCACGCAGCGAGATCGAGTTTGGCGCAGCGCAGCGTCGGCTGGAGAACCGTCGTGGGTGTGTTACACCGTGCTCGCCTCCAAAACTGTCCAATCCAATCGCGCGATCTCACAATTATTTGGATTTTAGCCAATCCAATGGCGCAATTTGAGGGACTGATGCCGTCACGGCATGGACTCGCAAGACACTCTCTGTCCACTCTCCAGTAGCCACATTGAGACACGTAAGTCCACTGAAACGAACGACGGCTGTTGGTGGAAGCTATCGCGTGATGGGGTGGCGGCCAACGGGCCCTCGCGTGTTTCACAACGAATGGGGCCATCGCCCATGGAGCTCTTCTTGACACCTTCCAGTCGATCGAACCGAGACACGTCCCGTTTGTCATACGAGGTTGAAGAAATGTAGCACTCTCTCAATGAGAGCGAGAACACCTCCAAGTTCGAATGAAGTCCAGAGACACCAAGAGAAACTCGAGGAAACGACGACGTGGTGGGCTCCGCGATGACGGACGTTCACGTCCGGGATGGGACGACGCCGTTCAAGCAGCTGCCACCTCGGAGTCCAAGGACCGTCAAGTCGACAGGTCTTCCTAACGACTGCACTAGTACTTCGATAAGTCAAACGAATACTCTGCATAGGAATGAACACGAGAACGAAAAACACGCACGAACGTGTTTTTTGGTACGTGTCCGACATCCCAGCTTTCTCGCTGCGCGTCCTTGAACGGCCGCTGCCATGGAACTGAACGGAGTCTCGTCAAGTGGTCCGTTGGAGTTGTTACCGAGGAACGGTCACGACAGCCGCCGACACTTGGCTGTCGTCGTCCTGGCTTCACAATCCCACACATGGCATCATGCGATCAAAATTAAAAAAAAAGCGATGGGGTGGCGCTGGGTGAGGGTTCCGCTTGTCGTGGAAGTACCGTCTCGTGGAGCTGGTGTTTTTACACAAACTTGACCTTGCCAGATCTACCCAATGCCACTAAGAACTCTCGTTCCTCTGCGCCACGCCCTTCGCGAGTGATAAATACGCATCGTCGCCACAACAGCGCTCGCCGCCATGGAGATTCGGCGCCGTCGACCAGCATGCGACGATTCTTTGAACGATTCGTCCACACTCAAGATTCGAGAAAAATCAGGACAATATTATTCCGCCCAGCATACTTACATGTAGGACGATGGAAAAAAATTTGCTCGAATATCGAACTTTGTTCAATTTCTGCACCCAAGTCGGTGCCAGGGACTTCTTGTTTCGCTCGGTCCCGCGTCCGTCGTCTGCACCGCGCCCCGCTTCGCGGCTGCCATGATGAAGAAATCGAACAATCCGTCCAATTCACGTAAGCGTGATCGCGGCTTCGCCATGTCCACGAAGCGTCCCGAGCCTGAACGGAGTTCGTCGTCGGGGTACTCGGCCAAGAGAGTCCCCCTCGCCATGTCGACAAAACCGTCTGCCGGGTATCTCTTGGCGAAGGGCCCGGATGGCACTCGTGGATTCTACAGTCGAAGCCAAAAGTTGAACGCGAAGGCGCATGAATTCGTCCCTTCGTCGTTCTAGTGGCGTCGTGGTCTCAGCGCCAGTTCGTGTTCGAACACCACAGAGTGCCACCAATTCCTCCACACTCGTTCCATCCCGATGCAAACCAAAACAAGTAGCGATCTATCGATTTTCCCATGCCAACCCATCAGCATCAAGGCACGCCGAAGCATATAGTTTTGCTCGGCCCTCCGTCGCCACGCTAATCTAAGTAAACGTCCATCCAGTCCGTGGATTCTGTTCCTGGATACACGGAACAAAAAATGTACCGATGCTGAACTCCTGTAAGACGATGAGGCAGCGCAACCATCCCTTCGCAACATTTTCACCTCGTGTCGATCACGCAACTCGGAGGTGGCTTGGCGTGTCGGCCCTGCCTGATCGAGCGCCGCCGTTCACGAGAACGACGTGCCGTTGAGATATGTCCACTTGTGACAAAATTGCAAGTCCATCGGATCGAATGCGTTCGCCACGATGACATTGTCTCTCCGTCCTCTCGACACGTTACCGCAAAGTTGCGAGCATCAAAAGAGCACGTTGCTGGAGTATTACTGTTGCTTGGCTCCGGCCGAGTGGTGCACCGTCGGCAAGTCCTTGAGCGACACGGTCGCGGACCCTCGGGCCTTGGGCTTTTGTTGGCTCTGGTGCGGGCTCCATCCAATGAAGTAAATCACCTGGCACACCAACTCAAATATCGCACACTGATGCGCCGACACACACCTGGAATGTCACGGGGACTGACCCGTCTTCGTTGCCAAACATGGCTTGATATATGGACGCCGTCGCCAACAGGACATCGCGGGAGACGTATCCAGATGGGGCGAACGGTGCGTGGTTCTCGCCCATGCCGCGTAAGTGCTCCATAACCGAGAACGCGTTGGGGTACTCGACCGTGATGTAGTCCGTGTCGACTGCTCCACAGTAAGTGCATCACGTCGGAGCACCATGCAAACCTGTTGGCAGTGTAAAACCAGCGCCTTGGAGAAGGTTTCCAGTATCGGGCACGTTCAAAAACGGAGATATGTGCGGCATGATGCCCCCTCGACGCTCTTGGTCGGCCAGAATGAAAGCACTCCTGCTCGTTCCATCAGATGTTACACTTCCAAGACTACACACCTGAGCTCCATGAGACTGTCGCCGCCTAGAACCGCCCCTAGGAACGCGCCATCTGGCTTCAGGACGTCGTGTACCTGTCGTGGCATCGTGAGTGAAGCAAGCCGAGCGTCCGTTCAAACCTGCGAAAACGTGCTCGGGAGATCATTCACCCAGTGCAAGCTGCACGAACTCAGCACCAAGTCGAAGTGGTGTTTCGGGAAGGGCAAGAATTCTTCGTCGGCGCAAATGCGTTGCGTGGCCACTACGGACACGCGCTTCGTCAATGGTGCAGAACGTGCGGTCGACAAACTGTACAGTTGGCGACGAGCTTCTTGTCCTCGTCGGTGCCGGCATCGCGCAAGAGCAGCCGTTCTAAAGCAACGTGATGGAACACATTTGACACAGAAGTCCAGGAACCTGCTGCTTCCATCTGCACGAGGTGCGTGACACCACCCAAACCGACGTCTGGCGCCAACGATTTGAAGATGTGTCCGCTGCCAGCACCGAGGTCCAGCGCATTTGGGAAGTCCCGGTCAATATCTTGCAGACGGTCGACCAGGCGCTTCGCGACTTCTTCGCGCAAGTACTCGTATTCCTTGCTGTTGTCTAGCAGCGCCGCCACATTGTTCCTCTGCGTGCGCTTCATTGCTACGCACGTCCCCCATCCAATCAAGCAATCAGGCAAGTCCTTAAGTATACATCCATGTTGGAAAATGCGACCGCACCTCGATCGAACACCTGCGCGGAGAACCCGCGCCGCGCGACGGTACTCAACCACACCATCGTCTTGACCTGCCAATGTGCCACAATACCATACACCATAAGTACGGTTCACCCGGTCGTACTTCTAAGAGTTATGGACAGACAATGCAGGAGATATATTATGCGTACTTTGTGGAGCTATCGAACTTTACTAGACTTCCTTGGCGCGTCCCGGGCAAATCGAACACACGACGATCAACATGAAGACCATTCAATCGAGGAAGAGGATGCCGCCGACGCGGACGGGGTAGAGATGCACGATATCTAGGAAAGGATCTCGCTAATGGTGGCCGGGGCCCTTGGCTGCGACGCGCCACGGGGCGTTTTCGCTGAAGATCGGGATGAAGTTTTGGATCGCGTCGCGCTGGTTCTGGACAATGCACTCGGATATCCAGACGAGGTTACGCACCTCCTGCTCCTTCAGCTTGACAAATGCGTAGAAGCAGCCAAAGTGCATCTGGGACTGGAACGCGAGCTCGCACATCATGACGTCGCGCTCGTAAAACGCATCGTCGATCGACTTGTTGTCGACGCCCTCGCTTTGGTGGATTTCCCAAATTTTGCGGTAGATTTGGTGAGGCTCCAAAACGAGCCCCAACGATGCTTCGTCGCCGACTTCCGACAGCGCTTCAGTACCAGCCGGGTACAGCTCCCCGATGGACGGGTACAACTGCTTTCGGTCCGAGATGCGAAGGCTCGGTTCATTCAATGGCGTGCCGAAAGAGTTGAGCGTGATGTTGATCGCAATGCGGTCGGCGCGCGCGCGCAAGATGATGCCCATGATGACGGCGGTTTCGCTGCCCACCTCTTGGCAGAACGTGTAAAAGTCTTCGAGCCACAACTTGAGCATGGAATTCTTGATGATCTCCATTTGGACTTCTTCCAAGATGTTGCGCACTTGCGACGCTTCGCCCAGTCTGTTCTCGGCTGCGTTCTCAGCCAAGAATTGCTGAAAGTACTTGCCGATCGGGGTGTCGATGAGCACGCACTCGTACAGGTCTGCGTACCCCTTCGAGCTGTTTTCGAACGTGCAGATGCTGCGCATGATGGAGTCTTCAAATTTGCCGAGGGGATGCAGCTGGGCAATCAATTCGTTCACGTCACGACCGTTGATCGTGCCCTTCAGGAGCAGCATCAAGTTCTCGATCATGTACTCGTACCTGCGACATGGCATCACAGCGTGAGATGGCCAGGTCATTCAACATCCACGAAAGTGGGAGACATACGTGATGAAGTCCATGAACTCCCCCAACGGTTCCATGGCTTGCGAGCGCAAAAAGACAAACTCGTCGACAAACTTCTTGGTCGTGGCGGCTTGAATCACGGTGGGGGTGACGGCGCCGCTAACGTCTTGCAAGAACTGGTCGTAGTCGGTTTCTTGCAAGTTGAGTTTGATATCTACATTGCAGATGGAAAGATCGGCATTCCTCCCGCACATCTTGCCATCGGGATGGCCCTACCTTCCAACGTCTCGCACTGGGTGAGGTGATGGTAGTCTACATCGTCGAGGAAACCACTGCGATACCCTCGGACAAGCGCCTCCACGAAGCCATGTTGGATGTTGAACGCGCTGAGGTCGCCAGCTGACTGCACCATGTTGGCTGCGGGCAAAAAAGCTTCTGGGGCGGCAGGATTGGGCGGCTTCTTTTTTATTACACATGCCGTGTACACTTTGAACGAGTAAGATGGGATGATAATATTATTCGGTCTTGCCACAGTGCCAGTACGCACCAGATTCGCATCAAAATAGAAGAGAAACCACCTTGACCTCAATCATTATAACCTGTATATACCCATATTGACGATTTCATGTTTATGAACACAAGCTTGTTTTATACAGATATTCGGCTCGACGTCCCAACCTCAAGAATTGATTCGTTTATACAATCAATAACCTACACTTAAATACAAAAGTCAAGTGAAAAGGACGATTCTCTGATATTCGATAGGATACCTCGATCACATTTCAAACGACATGGTCCGATCCGTGCCAGAGCCGAACGAACAGCACCGCTCGTCGCCCATGCAGACCGACTGGGAGCTCCTGTGCCATGGACAACACGTCGAGATCTCAAAGCTCAAGATGCACATATCGCAGTTGGAGAAGTTGCTGCAACCCGATGACGACGACGAATGTGGCAGGTTATATCACGACCATGCGAGAACACTCAAGGATCCAATGCCAACAAGACCCTCAGACCGACGACTGTCCACATCTTCGTCCATTCCATTCGATGACGAAGACGCCAAGAAATGGCACGAGCGAGTGGTAATGGAGCGCGATATGATCGACAGGGCACTGGATCTTGTTGCGCGGCAAAAGAGTGACCTTCGTTCACGGACGCAAAAGATGAAGTCGGAGAAGGACGCGTGGAGGCATGAGCACACGACAGGTCAAAGCTCAGTTGCTCTAAAGGAAATGAAACGAATCTTGGACAGCGTAAGTTTGAACCGTGGCGAACTTGACTAAATGCTGGACGTAGAACATCGCATCGTTGAACGAAAACGTCCGCCAACTCCATACGACCGAACAACGACTGCGCGCTCGTATGGACAAGGTCAGCCATATCGACGTCATGTGTACGTTGCATTCATGGGACTGCATGGGGAATAAGAGCGAGTCCAGTACGCAGCAGGATGCTAGATCCAGATTGCCTCTCGTTGTCAGACGAGGAATCGTCGGCGATGGAGTTTGAAGACATTGAGAGCGTCCTGTCCACGGACGACTCGACCATCTCGGACGCACTCCATCAACTGACCGACGACTGGCTCAACGATGTCGGAACTAGGTTACCTCGCGTCGATACCTTCCCTGTGGGAATTCCACCTCTTGGTCGATCCCTGCCATCTGTAGACGTGCGACAAGGCGAACGATTCTGGTCGTATCGGTACGATCGAGCCCACCTTCTCATCGAAATGCCAACCAAGTGCATTCATGCGATTTTGTAGAGCTCCTCTATTTGCTGCAGCACCGACGTTAACGCCAGGGGGACTTCGGCAGCACCAGTGCGCCTTGATTTACGAGAAACAGATTGCCAAGTGGGTCCATGGTCGACAGCGCATCCAACGGGCTGCAATCCAACACGCCAAGTACATGCAAGCTCTTCCAGTCACTGTGCATCCTGATATCTTCAATATCTAGATGGCTCACGTCGCTCTGCGACGAGGTGCACATGTACTCGAAGATCTACGACACCCGGACGCTCGCCCTCGATGAACCAATGCACGCCATCCAGTTACGCCCCTTGCATCCCGCTCAAGACGTGTAATGAACATGATCATGATGCCCTCGCGCACAGACAACCTCCTCTGCATAACCTTCCTCGATTGCGTCCCCAGCAACCACCGTGCCACCGTTGTCACACGTTGAAAGTTGTCGCGTCAGCTTCATCATATTTTAAATGCATTTAAAATAATCATCTCCAGTGCAAGAGGTACATTCAAAATAATTTAAAATCTCACGATACTCTGGAGATACATGGATTGTATCCGGACACGCATCCGATTATCGTACGTAACAGGGACAACTGGGCGACTTGCGCTGTCGTCGCAAGATGGCCGAACAGGACGAGAATGCGTACGAGAAGCTGTCGCGGGAGGTGCACCAAGCACAGATAACGGGCGCGATCCACCAAGACTGGCTAGAGAACCCATGCGGCTTCCTCTTGAAGCCCGACTTCAAGCGCAAGATGCAAAAGATGGGGGCTGGAGGCAAAAAGTTGATCCAAACGAGCCTGCGGGGTTTGCGGTGGCACTTGCCAGGCAACACGTACCGCAGTCGATGGTTTGTCTTGGACGGAATGATGTTGCGATACTTTCGCTCGAAGAATGACGACCAAGAGCTCGGGTCGATCCACTTGACGTCAGTGAACGCCGTCCTGCCGTCGAGCATCGCCGACGCTCCTGACCATGCTCTGGATCTCGTGTGTGCAGACCGCATCTACACCATTGCCGCGACGACGCGCGAAGACATGGTTCGATGGGCGACTGTGCTGACGCTCGTTGTACGTAACATTCCCTTTTTTGCTCTGCGGCCTCGTCACCGACGCAACGTAGCTGCGCGGAGAGTACCAGCCAAAGATGATGCAGCGCCGCGAATCTGCCGTCATTCGCGGCAGCTCCGTGATTCCTCCTCACAGCCGCATGAGTTACATTCGCCAGCCGTCGCAAATCGCAAACTACACGCCGTCCGCCAACTCGTTCCACCCGGTGCTCGCGCCATTTGACGAAGAAATGGACGACCGAGAGCGCGACATGGACGAAAAGCTGCGTGTGATGAGTGTCAGCGAGAAGATCGTGACGGTCACGTTCGACTCACCCGGCAGCCTAAACCTCTTGCTCCAAAGTACGTTGCTCTGTTTTGATCGAGGAACCGACACATGCCGTGTAGGCACGATGGACGATGCCATCGTGGTCAAGGGCTTCCGCGAACCCCCGGAAGGCGGGGTGGGCTTGGCGGAAGCCACAGGCGCAATCAAAGTGGGCGACTTGCTCGTGAGCATCCAAGACCACCCGGTCACGACCAACACGACGTTCGACATGGCGATCCATGAGATCCAAACGGCATCGCGCCCGCTGACGCTGCGGTTCTCTCGGCTGGAGGGGCCTCCGACGAAGCACCCCCAGCGTGTGGCCCAGGGCTGGGTCCTTGCCAAAGAACCAGGTACATTTTGCTGGATCTGCGTCCATCCGAGGATTTTCCAACGGCCGAACACAATGACGTAGCCACAACGCGGTGCCGCACACGACTGCTGCAGCTGCAAGGGTCCAAAGTATATTTGTACAAGCCAGGCATGCACACCGGACACCTCGACCGCCCGTGCTTGACTCTGTCGCTCGACGAAGTGTCGGACATTCGCGCCGTGCATGGTATGCCAGTCCACTTGGTTGGATCGAGCGCGTTCGTGAGAATCCAGTCGTAGACAAGCGAAAGGCGCCGGGTGACGCCAAAGCGTTCGGGTTGACACTCGAAGGCAAGCACGTGATGCTCACGTTCTTCGTCAAGTTTCCTGCCGAGCTGTGGCACTGGCTGGACCTGCTAAAGAACGCTCCGTTGTTTGACAAGGCTGCCAAGAAAGCGTCGACATCGTCCGTGTTGTCGACGATTCCTGTCCACCCATTGATGATCATCGAGCAACCACCCAAGGTAAGATTGGTTTGTGATCGCAAAAAAGGAACGGCTCGAGAAAGCACGATGGGATGGCATGGTAGCGAAACACGATTCTCTTGGAAGGCCATGACATGATGAAGCTCGGCGACTTGACGCCCACCTTCCAACCGCGCACAGTGCAGCTGCATTCGTACGGGAAGCTCGCATTCTACCGCGACGACGTCCGTGTCGGGACGGTGCAATGCGAGTCGATCCAGGACATATCGCTGAGCAAGTTCCAAGACTGGTGGTACTTGGAGCTGATTGTTCTGTTGCCGTCCACTGGCGGCCACAAGTACCGTCGGGAAGTCGTGCTGCGCTTCGATTCCGAGCAGAAGGGCATCAAGTGGACCCGTGCGATCGAGCGCGTGGCGAAAGAATGCCTCGGGCCTGGCGAAGACATTGACGTGACGATTGAATCCGTTTCCGAATGGACTCCCCCCGGTCTCCCGCTCACGAACGCCGTCTCGGACGACATGTTTGTCGCCCTCCACGCCGAATGGGGCGCGAGTCGGCACTTGGGCGATCTCCACCTCGACCAGAAAGCTGCGTACACTCAAGGTGTGATCCAAAACCGCATCGTACATGGTGACCCACAGCGTGTTTGCCCATATAGGTTGGTTTTTTGCAAAGAAACCGGGTGTCCTCGGCCGGGAGGCATATCACGCCCGCTATGTGATCTTGCGCGACCAGTTTTTGTACTTGTACAAGTACCATACCCCGCAGCTTGACGTACGAGAGATGGATGGACGAGAAGGGAGGCGATCGTGCGAGTTTTGTTTGTAGGGGACAACGCTGTGTGCTTCCAAGATCGACTTGAGCGAAATTCAAGACGTTGTGGAGGGCAACCCTTCGTCGGTCGACACGATGGAGCACACGATTCAGCTCAAAACGGCAACCAACGATGTGTTCACGGTGCTTTTTAGCTCGATTCGAACCACCGAGTGTGACCCGTGGAATGACGTAGCTGGTCGCGCTGACGTACGCCCAAAAGGAAGCGTGGCTGTCGTTGCTCGTGTGGACGTCCGATTACTACGTCCAGGACGCACCGGCGCCATTGCCGGCGCTCTCGACTGGCAAGTTCGTGCATCGACCGAGCTTCGAGTCGAATCCTCCTCCATCTCCCGTACGTCTTGCTTCCGCACCTCTGCCGTGCTCATTGGCGCGTAGGTCGGTCAAGTTGCTGCGGCGTGGGACAGCGTAGCCCGTGCCCGGGGATGGGTTCGTCGCAACGGCCAAGATGTGTACGCTTGCATCGTGCAAGGCGTGCTGAGCTGTTACGAGTCGGAGGAGGATCTAGATGCTGAGTGGGGCGATGCGCTGGACGCAATTGTGCTGACGGACGTCCGCCACGTGCATGCTGACAATGAGACGACCGTCGTGGTGGTGCTCGCTGACAACTCCTCGCTCCGCCTGACGTGCCGCGATAAGGGCGACGTCAAGGTGTGGATGTTGGCCATTTGTTCGTGCAGCCACTTGGTGTTGACGACGAATACGTCGACGGGGCTGCTCGAGAGCCAACTCCCGAACGAAGGATGGATCTGGAAGCTGGACCCGCTCTTCCAAGTCCACCGAAAGCGGTACATTTGCCTCAAGAACCACGAACTCGTAGTGTCGACCGACCGCGCCGATCACCACGGCCGGGTCCTGTCCGTGATTGCGTTGGACACAATTGTCAACATGTTCATGTCCAAGGTCGGAGGCTCGTGCTGGGTTGAAAGCATGCTGAGGCGGCGGCGTCGGTGTGTAGGTCACGGGCCGGGACAAACGTGGCGACTTCTATCAACTGACGCTGCAATGCGACGAAGCGCCCGACGAGGACGACGAAGGCGACGAAGCGGCCGTCCACACGCTGTCGATGTCGTTTTTTGACGAGGCCGAGATGAAGACGTGGGCCCATGACATTTTCCACTGCTGCACCAACACCACTACCAACCCGCACGCGTCTACAAACTTGGCGCCGCCAACGACTGTGGCGGTGTTTCCGCAGGAGTTGATGAAAACGTCGCTCTTCCAAGAGGCCGAGGTGCGTTGGAAGTCCCCCGTTCATTCATCGCTGTTGTGCCTATCGTTTGTGACGAGACGATGCAGTGGTTGACGGCAGGAAAGTTGACGGATGGTTTGCCTGTAGCCGTCGTTCGCCCCTTTCGTCCCTGGCAACGCCCGCGGCTGGCTTTACTACCGGATGGCATCAACCAAGCAGCGCCTGCGCCGTCGGTATTTTGTCCAGTACGGCAGCGAATTGTCCATCTACAAGCACGAATTGCTTCCGAACGAGCCGTCGGCCATTCGATACGGAGTCGTCGACTGCCGCGCGCTTGTGGACGTGCGGTTTGTGACGACCAACTGTCCTGAAAACGCACTCGCGCTCGAGTTTGCCAACACAACGCTTGTCCTCGTTGCCGAGTCGGACGCCGCAACGGTACGACGCTTCTTCCTCGTTCACGTGTTGTGGTATCGAACGAGTGTGTCGTAGCTTGCGTGGCGGGCTCTGCTTCTGGACGTGAAGCGGACGTTTAACCCGACCGGGAATCGCATGGACCACGGCGGCGTCCTCATCTCGAGAAGCAGCACGTTTGCGTCCCAGAAAGAGAACGAAGCGCTGCTGCGCAACCAAATTGAACTGAGCGTGCAGTTTGCCGCCAACATGCAAGAATGGGATGGCTCCAAGTGGGTCGCAAATGTACGTGTGCTCTTGACCACGTGTCGTCGTTGAACATCGGTCTGACATGGCTTAGTATTTTGTCTTGACGGGCAGTCGATTGCTTGTGTTTTCGCTCGCCGTCCACCTCTACGACGAAGACCCGGACCTGCTTGCAACCTACCCGACCAAACTCATCACGTATGTCCGCAGTCTGTTGGACGAGGAAGGGGCTGCTGTCGGCTCTGATGGCCTCAGCTCGATCGCCAAGACGTCGTTCGTGCTCGGGTTTGGCGCAAACTCCAGCTTGATCCTCAAGTGCGAAACGGCAGGTACGAGAAAAGGGCACAGGGGGATGCGAATTGTCGAGTTCTGGTTGTGTAGATCTGTGTCTCCAATTGATGCGGCTACTCTGCCTCAGCAACGGCAAGCTCGAGCTCAAGCAGAGCGCGGCGACAGGCAGCTGGGGCAGGTGCGTTATCATTTCTGGAACCGTTGGAAGGATAAAAGGACTGACGTTGTCTTGTAAGCGTGAACCGCATCGCGTCCATGTCGCGTCACAGCAGTTTTCTCGTCCCTTCAACGCCATCGTCGTGTTCGTTGACTCCATCCTTGGCTCCGTTGGCGCTCGAAACGAATGGGAAGGCGTCGACACCTTTGCGTCAGTCCCGCCGCGTGTCCATGCAAAGGTACGTCTCCTGGCCTCATGCACGACCCTATCCATCTGCGCTATCTAGACGAACGTCCGAGTTGATTCAGCAACAGCGAACGGCGATCTTGCAAGGATAGCAGCACAATGTGTCGTAAAGTCGATGTATGGCAGCAACAGAATCTTTGTGCTCCACAGATATTGCTTCAGGATTGGCGCAGGGAATGTGAGAGTCCTCTCCACTGCTTGTACACCAATCGTGAACTTCAGTCAGCATGTAAGCTTGGCTAGTTCTCGTCATTTCGACGCGCACAGACCCCCGCACGCCATCACGGACGGTTGAATTTGAGATATTTCCCAAAGAGTCGGATAAGTTTTCAAATATCCGGATATCTCGCCAACATGGACACCGCCCGTGCCGCGACTGCTATGGCCGACAAGGCCGCGAGGTATGCGTGCTTGAAGCAGCTGTACGAAGCCCTTCAAGACGTAAGTGGATAAATGAAAGGAGGTGTCGCTTGGCGAATCTGACGAAGCGTGCAGGATCACGTCGACCTTGCTCGGCGATACACTGCCGTGAAGCAGAAGATTAGCTACGTCTCCAGCGAAAACGAGTACGTTCGATGTTGTTGGCTCGCGTTCTCGATTGATCAGATGAAGGTCAACGTTATGCGATGGATGTTACGTGCATAGGTGCTTGGTCGATGAGTTGTGTCGCTACACTGAGAGCGACTTTGACTCGGATTCGGACGGCACGAGCACCCCGAAGCAGGTACGAGCCATGTCCACGATATCCCGAGGTATCTCATTGCACCCGTAGACGAGCAACTTAAAAGTTGAAAAGGCTGAATCCAGCGATGGCGTGTACACACGTACGCCCACCGCCGTCGTGAAAGCAGAATCAGCCAGTGTCGACACATGAGGCGACTCTCGCCGCCAGCCCATTACCCGACCAATGCACATATTGGTGCATTCCACCGACAAATCTTTTCAACACTGCGACCATCGTTATCAATCGTGAGCGACGCATACTTGTCACGGACGATGGGAGCCGTGGGTCGCTCCAATCGCCTCCGTCTGGCAAACGTTTGCTTAGGCAGAGTCGCAAACCTGTTCACCACGCACGCCAAGTATAGAGCCATTCTATTCGTGCCATTTTCCAACATCCATCGACCTGCTTGGCGGTCGATGGCGGCGCCAAATCTTCCCGTCGGTTGCGCCATCGTGTCTTTACCTGGATCGTGAGGGCAGGAAGCGTCGCACCACTCAGCCTTCGTTATCCGGACGTTATCGGATGCGGACATCGCTCATTTCAGTGTTATTTTGGAACGTCGTCGTCATGGCCATGCTGACGTGGACAGGGCGCAGCATCACGCAGCTGTCGCTGCATCGCCGCCGGACCAACATCGGCAACCTCGAGTACGGCCTCGAGCATGTGCCGTTCGTGCTCATGCACGTGTACAACCTCATCTGGTGCTACCAGACAATCGGTCAGCCGTACTCGATTGCGTTGGAGGAACTGGAGGAGTCAGGATTTGACATTCAGCGCATCCTGAACCCCCCGACAGAAGAAGTGTTGACGGGCCTTGCTGCGTCAGCGCTTTCGGCGGCCGCTGCAAGTGATAGCTCTGCCGGACATGACGACGTGCAGATTCCCCCGCTGCCGAACCCGTTCTTACCAGGGATCGTCCCGTTGCTCTGTCTCCTCGCCATCCTCTGCTTGCACATCCTCATGCGTCTGATGCAAGTGTGGTCGACGCGTGTACTCACCTTCATCAAGTACACGCCCGTGACCACATTGTCCGACGCGACCTTTGTCAAGGTCGTTCCTCGAGCATACCGTGGGAAGAGTGTCATCGTGCCGCTCGAACAGCATGTGCTGAGCACGGGCGAGAAGAGCGCACCTTTCTTCATGTTTCAGAAGCACAAGTACGTCGGTGAACTGTCCAAGGATGACGGCACGATTTGCTTCCGCAAGCTGAAGGCGCCAGTCACCGACTCCGTCGCCACGTATGTCAACGCAACGGGCATCCCCAACGAAGCCGTGTACGGCCGCTTGCTGGACTTATACGGTCGCAATGAATTCAGCATCCCGCAGCCCACGTTCATCAAGATGTACCAGGAACAGCTCGTGGAGCCGCTTACGGTATTTCAGATCTTCTCCGTGCTGCTGTACATGTTGGACGAGTACTGGCAGTACTCGCTCTTCACACTCGTCATGATCCTCATGTTCGAGGGGGTCACGGTGTTTTCCCGCCTCAAAAACCTCCAGACACTGCGCGGCATGGGCAACGCGCTTCGCAACGTGTTTGTGTACCGCAACCATGCGTGGGTCGAAGTGTGCACGTCGTCGCTCGTGCCTGGAGACGTCGTCTCGCTCAAGCGCAATGTCGAAGGCGACAACACGGTCCCGTGCGATTGCTTGCTTTTGCAAGGGAATGCCGTCGCAAACGAAGCTACGCTGACCGGTGAAAGCGTCCCTCAAATGAAGGAAGCGATCGGGCAAAAGATGAGCGCAGAAGACTTGGCCGCGTCACTCGACATGAAGGCCGGTCACAAGGTCCATCTGCTCTTTGGCGGCACCACGATCATGCAGCACGACGGCCGGACCAACGCGACCCAAAGCGGAGTCCCGTCGACTCCGGACAACGGCGTCCTCGTCTACGTCTTGCGGACGGGGTTCAGCGCCTCCCAAGGCAAGTTGGTTCGCATGATCGAATACTCGAGTGGGAAAGTGACGGGCAACACGTGGGACGCGGTCGGACTCGCGGCGTTGCTGGTCTTTTTCGCCCTCGCGAGTTCGGGCTACGTATTGCGCGAAGGGATCGCGCGCAAGGGTCGGGTCACGTTTGAGCTGATCCTTCGCTGTGTCTTAATCATCACGAGCGTCGTCCCGGCGGAACTCCCGATGCAGACCGCGATGGCGGTGAACACGGCGCTGCTGGCGCTTGTCCGCCTCTCCATCTTTTGCACGGAACCATTTCGCATATCCCTCGCTGGCAAAGTCGACATTTGTTTGTTTGATAAGACGGGTACGATCACGACGGACCAACTCACTGCCGTCGGCGTTGTGTCCAACGATCGAAAGCAGAACGAATCGAAAGCCGTGTTGCCGCATCAGCCCATGCTCCAGTCGCACGTCGATGCGTGCCTCGTCCTCGCGGTACGTGCATTGTGCCTGTGCCGTGGCTGACGCAAGTGTGTAGGGCTGCCACTCGCTCGTCGAGATCGATGGCAAGATGATCGGGGACCCCGTGGAAGAAGCGTCGCTTCGCGCGATCGATTTCACGTACGACCCCAAGACCAAGCAATGCACTCCCAACGCCAAGAGTTCCGAGCGCGGATGGGACCCGACCGTGATCGACACGAAAGGCGTCAAAGTGCACATTTTGCACCGTAACCACTTTGCCTCGAAGCTCCAGCGCATGAGTGTCGTCACGCGCATCCAGTTTGGCGGCCTCGGCGCCACCCGCCTTCGCGTGCTGGTCAAGGGCAGTCCGGAAGCCATCTCCAAGCTGACCAAGGACTTGCCTGCGTGGTTCTGGCCCACGTACGAAGATATGGCCCGTCGTGGCATGCGCGTCCTCGCCCTGGCGTTCCGCGATGTTGAAGGCAGCATGTCGGAGCACGACGTAGCGCACAAACCCCGCGAGTGGGCCGAAAGCAACCTCACGTTTGCCGGGTTTGCCGCCTACCAGTGCCTGGGTACGTGCTGTGCATATGAATTAACTTGTTTTGTGGCACAAGTGCCGGATGCCTGAACAAATGATTGCCGCAGCTCTGGATGCAATGACTTGGATGAAATGGCTCGTGGAAACTGTGTGTGCAGCATTGATCTGGATCATTCGTGCGGCTCATGTTGGAAGTTTTGTAGTGCGCAAGGACAGTGCGGACATCCTCAAGCAGCTCAAGGAGAGTTCGCACACGGTGGCCATGATTACGGGGGACTCGACCTTGACTGCGGTGCACGTGGCCAAAGAAGTCGGGATCATCACGCGTACGGCGCTCATGTTGTCCGGCAGCGACGTGTTGTTTGAATGGAAGAACTCGGCCGACGACGTGCCTGTTGCGGCCTACGGCAGTCAGTCGGTGGAAACCTTGGCGAAAACGTACGACTTGTGCATGGATGGTGCAGCGCTCGTCCGCGCGGAGGAAGTGAATGGTGGTGTTTGGAAGAACTTGGAGCTCATCCGCGTGTTTGCGCGCATGACGCCGGAGCTTAAGGAACGTGTGCTGACGTCATTGAAGAGCTGCGGCCACTTCACGCTCATGTGCGGTGACGGTGGGAACGACGTGGGGGCGCTCAAACAAGCGCACGTTGGTGTTGCGTTACTCAGCGGGTTCGGCTCAGCCAACGCCGACAAGACGATCACGGGCGTGGTGGCGAAGGAGAAGAAGGTTGAGACCGTCGCAGTCGTCGAAAAGTTGTCCAAGGAAGGTCTGCTGAAGCTCCATGCATCGGTGCTCAAGAAGAAGCTCGTGGCCCTCAAGGTCGACCACGATCATGTGACGGAAAAAGAACAATTGGTGGAACTCTTGCTGTCAGCACAAGCCAAGTCCCAGAAGAAGCTGAACCCATTTGGGCCACTCACGCCTGAACAGCGCAAGTTGGTGCAGCAGCAGCAACAAGAAGAGATCGAGCTCGACGTCAAGGCACGAGAAGCGCGCGGCGAGTCCTTTGCTCGCATCAAAGCGTTGGCCGCGTTTGCCCAGCGCCAAAAAGAAGCAGCGACGGCATACCAAAACGAACGCAAGGCCAAGGGCGGCAGTCAGTTTACGCAGTTTGCCAACAACGCCGTCATGGCGCAGTACATGGAAGACTTTGACGAAGGCGAGCTGCCCATGGTGAAGCTCGGGGACGCCTCGATTGCATCGCCATTTACGAGCCGCGCGCCGTCCATCAAGGGGTGTGTCGACATCATTCGCCAAGGCCGATGTGCGCTTGTCACGACCGTCCAGATGTACCAAATTCTGGCCGTCAACTGCCTCATCAGCTCGTACTCGCTGTCCGTGCTGTACCTGGACAAGGTCAAGTACGCCAATTCGCAAATGATTGCGCTCGGGATGATGGGCACGGTGGCAAGTGTGACGCTGTCGCGAGCGACGCCGCTGGCCGAGCTCAGTTCGGTGCGGCCGATCTCGTCGATCTTTCACCCGGCGCTGTTTTCGAGTTTGGTCGGGCAATTTGCGCTCCACCTGGGCGTGATGGTGTACTCGACGAACCTAGCCAAGGAGTACACGGTCGAGGGCGACACGCGGCATCAGTCGCACATCAAACCCAACTCGTTTGAGCCGAACGTGATGAGTACCGTCATTTTCCTCGTCAACGGCATCCAAACGATCAGTGTGTGCGCCGTCAACTACAAGGGCCGCCCGTTCATGAAGAGCATGACGGACAACCCGGGTCTGCTCTACTCGCTCGGCGTGAGTCTGGTCGGCGTGTTTTTGCTCTGCACGGAAGCCATGCCACTGTTCAACAAGGTGCTCGAGATCGTGCCCATGCCGGACCCGCGGTTCGCCCAGATTCTGACGGGCATCTTGACGCTCGACGTCGTTGGCGCGTTTGTATGGGACCAGCTTTGCCTGCTCATGTTTGCGCCCAAGATTTTCATCGCGTCGTTCCAGTCGATCACTGGTCGCGACGTCAAGCAAATGGTCAAGATGCTCGTGATCGCGCTCATCATCATCTACATCGTGGCCAACATCGACTACGACGAGATTGAGCGCCAGCAGCAGTTGGCGGAGCAAGCCGCCAAGGCCGGGACCCCCTTTGTCGAAACCATTTCAAGTTGAATTTGGTTGATGGAGATAGAAAAAGAGGACGACGTGTGTGTCCATGAAATGAACTTTGCATCGAACGATGCGTTCTTGTTCGATCCTTCCATCTCGCCCGACGGCATCACTGCATCACGTCCGAGTCGGTTGACGGTTGCATGAGATGCAGAGGCAGGGGTGGGCGGAACCTCGTCAACGGATGCTATGTTGAAGCACCTCCCATGACACAGGACGTCCGCAACCATCGTTGAATTCTCCACGTTCTCGCGATGGTCGGCCGCCGTTTGTGCGTCTTGGTGGCCATGTGGTGCTTTTGTCCGGTCGCGTCGGCCACTGTGTTGCAAATAGACCACCGATCGAGGGCTGGGCTGCCGGCGTGGAGTGTCGCCGTGGGTCGGTTGGTCCTTCGCGATGGTTCCATGTGCACGGCGACTCTTGTCCATCCCAGTGTACGTGTGCCTCTTCAGATCCAGGATGCATTGCAATGGCCTTGTTGACACGGCGCCCGCCTCCTTTTGTAGCTTGCGGTCACGGGGGCCGCGTGCATGATGGTGCAAGGCGAGAATGCTTCGACGAACCGATCTACAACGCCGGCGGTGTCAAGCATTGCCCACGTCATGTTTGGCAACATGACTGCTCACACGATGGCGACCGTGAGCCGCGTGATCCCCCAGCGGGAACTCTTTCCCTTCTCAAACGACTACACACTACTCCAGCTGACGGCATCTCTCACCACGATTCAACCCGTCGCGCTGGTGGGGGACGCTGGCTGCCCTGCACTCCCACCTTCAGGTATAACTTCTTGCATCATTGTGTTGGACATGCCAGAACCACTGAAGCATTCGGGCTTGCACCTGCAGGACGAGCTTCGACGCTGAACGTGTCGTGCGTACAATTCGCCGTACCGGACTATGTGTCGGCGCCCGTTGCCCAAACGTCTTGTCCATTGAACATATCGACGGCGCAGACGGCTACCCACGGATGTGACACGTCCGTCCGAGGGAGCGACGGCGCCCCACTCGTCGTTGCTGGCTCGTCATGCCTCGTTGCTCTGCATTTGCCAGGGCCAAGGGAAGCCCTCGAATTGCACGCGAACTCGACCACTGACTTCGTTGTGACGACGTGGACACCCGAAAACGCCAACATCGCGCTCGTCGTGGCAAACGACCTCCGAAAGCACATCCAACAGCTCGTCGCGCCGGCTTCTGCGATCGTTGAAAGCACTGCTGTCCAAGACGATTCTCATTCGCTCGTCGTCGTGTACACTTGCATTGGTGTGATGGGGATTGTGTTCGTCGTGCTGGGATTGCTCATGCTTCGGCCGCGCTACGTCAACGTCCACTGCCTGCCAACACCTTCCACCAACCACTCGAGTCACAGCCAGCACCGCGAGCATTTGGAACTAAGGGCTGCCAATGATAAATAGGAATGTGCAATACGATCACTGTGTGGTTGGTGGTCGAGACTTCGTCTGGACGAACGCGATGCTTATCAGTCGACTTGCTCTCGTGAAGTGCCGTCAGTGCATCGCGACGACAGGAACGTAGCACGTAAAGGAACCGAATCCGTCGACTAAGACTGCGTGTACGACCAGAGCTTGTTGGTCAACTAAGCCTAGTCACGACGCGTCACGAAGCCCGCAAGATGCACGACATGCAAGCCAGCAGCTGGAAGGAAGAATTGAAGCATAAATGACGTACAGCACAGAACAGTCAACACGGCATTTCCGTCCACGGACAGCATCTTGGATGCGTGGCGGGCGTCTACTCGCACGGACGACGCCGCGAAGTTATTGGTCTCATCAACGTTGTATCCATCGGCTTCTTCGCCATCTTTGCTAGTGGGGTCGTCAGCTAAGTCAGGCCGACATCGCAAGTTGGTGTGCAACGTCTGCAACACAATTGTGTCGCTCTGCACACGAAGACGAAGGGTGCCGTCCATGCCAGCTTGGACCTACGAGAATGGCCGCAGCCATGATGAATAAAATGACCTAGAGTTGGATCAACCGTACGAGGAGAAACTTTTGCATCGCTTTGAGTCGATCAGTAATGGTGCGGAGGGCGCGCAGCGGCGGCATTTCGAGAGCAACGGTGGGCGGAGGGATGTTGGGCTCACGGTAGCTTTCTGCAGTGGCCATTGACACGACTTCGATAGGAATGTTTTGAATGATATCAAGATCTACCGTCTGCAAGCAACGCATGAGATGATGGGATCTTCCTCTACAGAACTCACCCGCGCGCGCAAGGAGAGAAACGAACGTCCGTCACGCTTGAGTAATCGTAGCATGATACCACTCGCCTCTTTCCCCGACTGGAGAGCCCTTGAAAAGTTGGCGATTCCAAGCGCAAACGCAATGTTGTTGTCGGCGCGACTCTCGATCACGACGTCACCAAACACTTTGGCAATGTTCAAGTGCACAAAAGTCTGGACGTCTTCCCCGCTGGTCTTCATAGCGAAGGACATGCGCTCTTCGTTCAGCACGACGAAGCACATGTCCGAGCTACTCACGCGTTGCATGAACTGGGACACCTCCATCAAGATCGGGAAGGACGCGGCCGTCAAGTGCCCGCGAAATCGCATTTTTCAAAATCCACCGTTTCCGGATCGTTGGTGTTTATCCGGATCACAATAAGGTCACACGGCCATTCCATTGAACGTGCACCGGATGACCGACGTCAGCGTTGGGAGGCTGCTCGAAGAAGTGGACTTGAGCTTTCCAGACCGCAATGACACGCTTCTCCCAACCGACCGAAGCAAAGCAGCGAATCCACGCAGTTTTGACGGCAAGATCCGCGTCCTGCCAAAGACATCCTTAGAGCTTGGTGGGAATGCACTCCCAACTCTCCATCAGTTCTTTCCAGCTTGGGAAGTTCAAGCGTATGCGCGTTTTGCACAGATTAAGCTGCACATGGTGAACGCCCGATACCCGGAGTACGAGGCAACAGGTATTGTATCGTTCTATGTGTGTTCTGCAGATCACATTATGGCAAGTCTCACTCGCTTGTCCAGGGATGTTGCCGCAATTGAACGACGGCCACTTCCTCGTTCCCACGGGAGATATCATTCTGCATCTTCAAACGGTACGTGTCCTTTCCGTCTGTTTTATGCCTGACTTCTCGTCTGCGGAATCTTTGCAGTACTACAAGGACCTGGATGCAAACTTGTCGGACAAGCAGCGCGCCGAATCTGTCGCGTTCCGTGCCATTGTACAAGAAAAACTCGCTCGGGTCTTGGACTACTGTCAATGGGTGGACCCCATCACGTACAGCGAAGTGACGCGTCCGGCCGTGCAGCGCGTGATGCCGTTCCCCCTCAACCGCATCGTCCCAAAGCTCCTCCACGCCCGCCACACTGCAGCATTCCACGCCTCATCGTCTCTCTTGTCCAAGGAGCACGTTTACCTCACCGCGCGGGACTCGTACGTTGCGCTCAATTCGTTCTTGGAAGAGTCGGCGAATCGTGGCTCCTTCTTCTTCGGCGACGAGTACGTAGTCTTCCGTCATGAGTTCGTTCATGTGAGATCTGTCCAGGCCGTCGGCACTGGATGCCGTTGTGTTTGGCCACGTCGTTGATGCCCTGAGCGACGGTCAACTGCGCGAAGTCATTGCTATCCATGGCCCGCGCCTCGTGCAATTTGCAACGCATGTCCGCGACGTCTACTTTGATTCGGCTGCACATGCTGCGCTATGTAGCCAAAACACCCCGAATGCGTTTGCGAACCTCGACGCGGCTTTTCTCACCGGTGATTTCAACCTTGTGCCGCATGCGGCGTACGTCGCGCCGTTCCACAGTCTCAGCTGGAGCCAGCGGTACTGTCGGCAGGAGGGTTTGCACTGAACACTAATGGTGTCCAACGCAGGGAAGTTGTCAAGGCATCGCAGGCCGCTGCCGACCCGTCGACGGCACACGACGCCGTCGTCACGTATGACAAGAGCACGCGCAACGTCTTGCTCGGCGGGTTCCTCGCCATTCTCTTGTACGGCCTGTCGCAGCTATCAATTTCGATCGAAGACGACGATGACGACTTTGACGACGACGATGCCCTGGATGACGACTGACATTGAACATACCAAATCAAACTACACTCGACAATTACGTTCCCTTTGCGCCTTTTTTACTCGACCGGTGGCAGCGCGACGACGATGTGGCGAGCGCCCGAACTACTCCTGAACGCGCCGTCGTCGGGATCTTCGTCTGGCGAGTCGTCGATCGCGTGGTGATGAGCCGCAAGATGGTGGTTCGAATGGTCGTGTTGACCCGAGTCCTCCATGTCTTCGGCGTACCGAGACGCCACGTGGTGGTCCATGTCATCTTGGTCAATGTATGCCGCCGCACTTGGCGCAGCGTCCTCTGCCAGCGATCCATCGCCGGACGCAGCTGCCGCGTCCTTCCATCCGTTCTGCATGATCGCTTGTCGTTTCTGTCGTTCGCTGTTGGCCTCCAACTCCTTGGTAAGCATCGCTTGGCCAGGCGACGCGGCGGGAGAGAGCGTCGGTCCGGCGCGCTCCCGTTCTTGTACCATGAGGCGCAGTCGCTGTTGGTGGAAGAGTTCGTAGTCGGCCGATGCTTCATTCGGGACGAGGGCCGATCGGGGGACATGAGAAGTGCCCCATTCCTCTCTTGCCGCCGCGGCCGCGTGCAAGCGATACGACGACGGCAACGCATGGACCGAAGGTGGAAGGTGCGATGGGTGGAGATACCGAGCCGGTGGTTGAAGCTGGTGGTGCAGCCCGGGCGGAAGTGTCGGGTGCGCCGATGGACCAGAAGCAGGGTACGCTGGATCGTAGGGGTGGTTTGGATGTTGCATAGGGTACGGTGGTGGCGGCATGGAGAACGGCATTCGAGGATACGAAGGCGACTTGTACACGGATGTGGAAGGCGGATGGAATTGCTGAGTGTGAACAAAAGGGGGATTGCTAGACAGCGGCTGCCGCAGGTCGTGCCGGGGGCCACTGTACGAGCTGAATGGTGGGTGGGGCGTCCCTGGTGGACGCGAGTGCTGCTATGACTCGAGTGAGCTCCCACCGACATCGCGTTTGACAAATTACCTCGTGCAAAAAGTCGGCAGTGGGCGGGCGCATGCTGCTAGTCTGTCCTGTCGGTGCCGCTGGGTACGTTGGGTGATGGGGCACCGTCGAGTCAGGCGGTTGTCGTAAATGTGTGGTGGTAGGGACAGGTGGCGCGGAGGAGGCCATGGGTGGGTGGTGGTGCGATGGTTGCGTCGACGAGGCTTTGATCTGACTCGGGGGTGGTTTGACGGGTGCTGACCGCGCCTTGGCGACGACTTGTGGCTGCAGTTTGTCGAGCGCTTTGGTGGACAATGGTTTGGCCTGCGATGGATCGTCCACGTCATCCGAGACGCTGTCATCGTCGTCTTCGTTCCCACGGGAGCTTCGACGCGTCCGCATGAGCGACTTCCACCGAATCTTGACGGCATCTTCGGTCCGGCCCTGTCGCGTTATGTCAGATGCCAACGGGAAGCCGTCCTCGAACGTACGGAAAGCTGTTGTGCGATCACGCTCCATCGGTTCCCGAGCTTGGCTTGCATGTCCACGATCAGCTGGTCTTCTTCCCGCGTGTAGTTCCTGCAGGGGGCACCCATTTCAATCGTTTAGATCGAGGTCGACGCCCCACGCACCCTTTGTTGATGTTGGGGTCCAAGTGGTTGCACCACCGCTCCCGGCACTGCTTTGACCTAGCCACGTGTGTCAGCGCGCGCGGCAACCAAGCAGGCGGAAGCATGGACACCAGTACGCACGTTCTGCCTGGGATGTGCGACGCCACCTGCCCCCAGTTCTTGCGACCTTCAGCCACAAGCGTGCGAAGTTTCGCGTCTTCTTCGGGGGTCCAGTGTCCCTGCAGAGACACGGCAGGTCAGGGAATGTAGCACGGCGACGAGTACCTTGATGAGGCCGGGTTTGAGGACTTTGGTCCATCGCTGGAGGCATTGTGTGTGGTTGCGACCGGCAACTTGGTCTGCAATAGCTTTCCAGTTTCGTTCGCCGCTTCGTTCGACAGCAAGTCGAAGGGACTCATCTTCCACCTTGGACCACCGTCGCGGGTTGCTTTTGTCGCCACCGCGGGCAGAGCTTATTGTCACGGCCGGGGCGTGATCGAGGTTGGCCGTCACGATGGGACTCGGCTTGTGTCCCTTTCCCTTGGCTCGTTGGGCCGCGGGTGGCGGAAGCATCTGTTTCAGACTGTCCGCACGCTCGCGTTTGGCCGCCGGCGTCGTCGCGACGGTGCCGTCAGGTTGTGTCGGTTGTTGCTTGTGGCTGGGGAGGTTTGACGTTGTCGAGAGGGACGTTTCGTAAAGGGCCCGTCCTATGGCGGACAGCGCTTGTGGCGGCGTCCTCGCTTCGTTCCCGCCGTCTCCGTTCATGGTTGTCGTCGCCCAATGTGACTCTCCCACCGCCAAGTGACTGCAGTTTTGTATGGGGCGTTTATTTGGATGGGGATCAAAATCACATGCGCTGATTGGCTCGACAAGATGACCATGCCGACGACCGCGGCGCTTCCGACCGCGCGGAAGGCGCTTTGGCCAGGATAGGACGGTGCTGCTGGGGATGTCGAGTGCCGCGGAGGTGTAAGCAATCGAGCTGCTAACGCAATGTCGAGGAGCATTGTATGCTCATTGTGAAACAACTTCTCCATGCGCCGTTCATGCACAGAGCACTCGGTGCCAAACTGCTCGACGAAGCGGCCTTGGTTCTTGGCTGGACACCATCCATACCGACTCAGTTCACCGCGCGAGAAGGAGGAGGACGTGTGTGCATGCGGATTCTACCCTCGTCTGCATCACGCATCACAAAAAATTCCATGTCGCAACAATTCCATCCTCTCGTTCCCTCTTCGTACGGTGGAATTCACAATCGAATGGGGGGACAACGCCGTTTCACGATCGTTTCACCATACGATATCGTTGGATTCGTTGCACTCGGCCATCACCGTGCCATGGATCAAACTGGTTCTTGCGACGACAGCAGTGTGTTCGCGCGACCTGCAGAGGTCGTCGACGACATCGCCGCACGTGTTTCGCCAAAGGAAATGGTACACCGCACGATACGTCCATGGGACGCGCCAAGACGCCTCACGCTTGTGCGCGTAGGCGTCACGAGCATGGACTGTCCCAGCCCTCGATGACAAAGTGTTCTTGCATGCGTCTATGCAGCTGGTGCAGCAGCAGAGCGAGACCCGCCAGCGTGTGCGCAATTTGTGGTACCTCGTGCAGCGGCTGCGGTGGGACGGCCACATGGATGCGTCGGCCATGGACATGCTACGCACGGATTTGGTCCAAGTTGTCAAGGGGCTGTCGTTGGAGAAGCTCGACGGCTCAACGGTACTCAACGCAATCCGTTCCATCGCGTACTCATCGCCTTGGTCAGGCTGTCAAGTCCGGCGAGCTCCTGTACGTCCACGCTGCGTCACGGCAAAAAGTGTGGGCAGTCCTACACCACGATCACGGGCGACTCGATCTGACGACAGTCGTGGACGAGACGTCGCCCATGCCGTCGGATCCATTTGGACTCTCCAAGCTGTCGGCATCACTCGCTTGGATCCTCGACGGCGGCCATGACACGGTAATCCATTTCCGCACACCGCCAAAGTCCTGACGTCGTTTCGTATATCGCATTCACGTAGCCATCGCAAGGTAGCCGAGTGACGAAACCCGTTCAAGTGTTTGGAGCGACCGTGCGCAGCGTTGTGGTTCCTGGCTCGTCACGGTTGCAAGTGGAGCTGTCGTTGCCCACGTGTGCGGGGGGGTCGACGATTCTCGTCCTAGAAGCGCCCACCGAAGCGTTGCACGCGGAATGGATCGACGCGCTGACATCGGTCGCGCGCAGCGACCTCTTGGCCATGCAAGCCACGGTCGGGGCTGCTGCGTCTGCCGGTATGTCGAGGCATCCGCCAGCATTCTCGCAACTCACGTCCGTCTGCCGGGCAGACGAGTACAAAGCAGCTGTGGCAGCATCGAGTCCGGTTCACGTCCCGCTGATGTGGCAGCGCGGCGTCGTCGAAAAGGCAGAAAAGCAGGCCGGGCTTACTCGGCGCGACAGCAAGAACCTGTCGATGCTCCAAGTGTTCAAGGACATCGCGCGGGACAAATACGTGGTCGACGGCGTTGCCGTGACATCGTCCGACGATGTCGTCCACACACTCATGGCCAAGATCGTGCCGTTTTTGCAGCAACTTCCGCACCTCCAACCTTTATCTCCACGAACGTCGGCATCTCCTGTCGCCCGACTAGCCAGATGCAGGTACTCAGGTACTGCACTGAATCCACTCATTCGTGGCCAACATAGCGAAGCCACCGCGCTGTCGTTCGTCGAGCGCGTCCTGCGAGGAAGCGCGCGCACGCAGAGCGGCGGAGACATCTACGATGCCGTTGCACTCGTGGGCGGCAACCCCAGCCTTGTGACGCTCTGCCCCGTGTCGCACGATGTCCTCCCCGTCATGCTGACCGTCGACACGACGGACCAAACCGTCCTGCACGTGTACTTGCAAGTGTGCATGCAGTTCAAAGCGATGCCCCACCAGCAGCATCACATGCCTGTATCGTCGCCTCGGGCAGGAAGCGCGTTCTCGGGTCGACCAGACGTCGCGAGCCCATTGCACAGTCCGCGTGCTGAAGCCGGGGACTGGGCGGTCTTTACGGGAACCCTGAGCCGTACGTTTACGTTTGGAGCGGCGGCCGACCCTGGTCACGTCATCGTGGCCGTCGATCCCTCGCCGTCATATGCCGACGATTCCAATTAACGAGAAAACACCACCTATAAAAACTGAGGAAAGGGACTTGTGCTGCCGTCCAAGTACATGGGTTTGGTGGCAGGTGACGTCGCGTCGCTCGCATGGACGTCGGCGCGGCAGAGGGGACACGATCGCTCCCGGTCAAACCACTCTGCGATGCACTCTTCGCAAAACAAATGCGCGCACTGGAGTTGCACCGGCGTCTGCATGGTGTCGTAGCAAATGGAGCAGTCGGGGGTGCACATTTCGGCCAGATCGGTCGACGACACGTACGTGCCGTACTCGACGTGGAGGGTCACCGCCGCGAGGATGCATGCGGCCACTTTCTTTGACTGCCCCACTCCAAAATAAATCTGCAGAAAAGGTCGTCACATGCGAATCGGCAACTGCCCGCGGCACGACGCAGCGGACGTACCTTGAACATCGAGTAAATGCCTTGGAACAAATTGGCCACGTGCTTGGATTCGGCAGCGCTGTAGAACGCGTACCATGGAAAGGCGGCGCAGCAGGACCGCACAAGGAGCGATAGGTGCTCGATCGCGGCATACATCTTTCGCTTGCGGCGGTGATGCGTCGCTGGTTTCACATACCGACAGCACCCATTCACTTGGACGAGGGCAACAACGATCTTGGCCATGAAGCTGGCGAGACGCAAGATCAAATCTAGCACGATCGGAAAGTCAGCAACATGGACAATGGTGGGAATGGTCACCGTTGATCATGACAGTCCAGACAACGTCGGCAAGGCTGGACGGGTCCGCGACGGCCTTGCACAGCGTATGCAGTGGCGTGAGGTCGCCGTTGAGCGCTGAGAGTGCAAATGCGTCGACGGCAGAGACGAGGAAGATCCCGCTGAGGGCCGACGTGCTGGCTTTGTCCTTCATCGCGACTTGCGCACGGAATCGCTGGTCCAACGCAATGATGGATGTGCAACCAAGGACGAAGATGAAAATCCCTGGATCGATTTTAAAGTTGATGGCGATCGATCTCATTCAGAGTTCGGTACCAATGATGTGGACGTAGGCAAAGTACAACACTAGCAGAACCGCAAATGGCACGATGTGATGAACACGGCCAAACAACCGCCGCAGTTCGGTGCGCAATTGCTCTTCTGAATGCAACGACCATGAACCGTGAGAAGTCTTGCATCTTCATGACGGCTGCAACGACGCACCTGAGTCGTCAGCGACGGGCGGTTCTGGGGTGGTGTCGGCAGGTGCATCGGCCCCCACAGCGCGAATGGGAGATGGCAGCGATGCAGACATGCCGACATGAAAACTATGCTGTGGTACTCCTGGCTCTGTGGCTTCGTAGTCGACATCTGCGTTGATGTTTCGGAGGAGAGTTGCGCGCTCGTCATGGTCGAATACTTCGTTGTCACGGTGGAGTTGGATCGTTGGAGACACAGGTGTAGCGGCGATTGCAACGTTGCTAAATGTAGGGTTCATAGGGAAGAAGTACGACATCGGTGCACTCAGAGAGCGCAGGAAGCCATGTCGTGACGGAGTCGTGGAAGTCAGGGACGTCGTTGCATCATTCGTCGGTGCGATGTCTATTACGCGACGTGGGATGGACGTCCACCGATCGACTGGAGTGTGGTGGTCGACGTGCAATGAACCATGGGGTACATGCCGCCTGGTGCTGGTCGGGGACTCCGGGACCGAAGGCACGCTCGGATCGACTTCCATTCCGGGTATTTTTATCCTGGTGCCGGCCGAATTTGGTTTACGAGGGTCAATAAAATTGAAGCACATCAATCATACTTGAAATTTATATACCGAGCTCGTATTTATTTTATGTTACAATCGCCCATCGATGCCGAAAGCACACAAACCAGCGAACTCGCCGGCGACATCGGCGGCGGCCGGATCGGCCTTCACGTACCACGTGGAGGAAAACCCGTCTGTCCAGTATGCGTCATCATTTCTGGAGCCTTGCATCCCGGTGTACGCTCGTCATCCGACCTTGGACCTACTCTACGACGGCTCAATCCAACGACTTCGGTACTTCATGACAAAATCCGAGTGCCACGACGCAATTGCTTTCGCAACTAGCATCGGGTTCACCCACGTGTTTCATTCACAGACGTCCGAGTATGCGTTCCGCGACAACGATCGTCTCCTTTTGCGTTCCCCGCAACTGGCCGCACAGTTGTGGGAACGCCTGCACCCCTTCCTTCCTCCGTCACTCGAGAAAGCAGTTGGGTGCAACCCCGCCATCAAGTTCTACCGATATCGAACCGGCCAGGCATTTGGGTGTCACGTCGACGAGAGCGTTGTGGACGAACTGACGTCCACTGAAAGTCGATACACTCTCCTTGTGTACTTGAATGACTCGGCGGACTCTGGTCTCGTTGGCGGCGCCACGCGGTTCTACGTGAGCACGTCGTCTTCGAGTCGTCGCCCGAAAAAGTCCAAGAAACGAGAGCCCGCGACAAAGGAGTCTGTCCTGGACGTGATGCCTGAAACAGGCATGGTACTCATGCACGGCCACGGGGATCACTGCCTCGAGCACGAAGGTGCGCGGGTCGACCGCGGCGAAAAGTATGTCCTGCGAACCGACGTCATGTTCGCTTTGTGACACAGTTGGCTCACGGTCAGCAATGGACGAACCCACGAAAAATAGAAGCCCATGCGTCATGTTGTCTGCAAGTGGTGGCGCAGCAAGGTTGGAGCAGGTTCAGTCAGTGTCAGTCCACTTGGAGCTTGCCGCCAGCCAGTCGAGCTGAATTCACCCTTCGTTGCCCGGCCATTGCCACCAGCAACGAATTCGTTTGCCCAGAAACGCCAAGTGCAGTCATCCAAACTCTGCTTTGTGCATGTTGTGCTTCAAAATTTGGATAATCGCTGGGTCCCCGAAGGCATTCCAACAGGTTTATTTGGAACGGGAATTCCCTGCATCGGACACAACGCATCAAGCTTGTTTCTTAGCTACACGACGAATCGTCCTGGCTCCCCATGAGTAGCGTGGGCTACGCCGCGGCCACATTCTGGACGGCTTCGTGGACGAGGCTGCTGCTAGAAGGTGATTGCCCACGCACCCCACATACCTCTCGAGGGTTTGCAACCCAAGGGAACGCCGCGAAAGAGTATTCGAAACCTGGGTGTGTCGAGTGGGGATGCCACCATGGACCGAACGACTAATCTGCATTGTAGATAGCACAAAAGAGGCATCAGGATGGACTTTCTGGACGACTAGAAGCGCAGGTGGCGAGAGCCTTTGCAGAGATCCCTGCTGGTGCGTCAACGGAAATGGTGGACAGATCTTAGCTGGCGGGGTTGGAATTTGTGTGGCTACATCGGTAGTCATGGCCGAGACAGGTGGGTGATGAAGAATGCAGTGGTCGCCAGGGGCGTTGCGATGGTGTCGGAGGTGGTGAAAGTTCAATGTGGTGATGCCGACGACTGATTTGGTGGCGGGGAGCCATGGTAGTGGTGTCTGAGGTTGCAATGGTGGAAAAGGATGCATCCCTTCCACCAAGGACATCCCAGACGCTGCAAACAATGCACTCTACATGGCCAACGACTTCACTGTCGAGTGTGTCATGTCAACACCTTGGCGCAGGTGCGATGCCAAGGCTGCTTGAATGAATCTTGTCTGTGCATTCGACCTAGATCTATACTCTGTGCCGGCATGGCACACCACCTACGAGGTCGCCCGCGAGCACCACGACCTCCCTACGAACCACCGTCAAATCAACACATCCGCGTGACATGTGGTATCTGTAGAGTTTGTGAGAGTGTGCACAGGACACTGTAAGTGGGCGAGGCACCACCGCTATGGGATATTCCACGCCTGCCTGCACCAAACCCCAAAATCGTGCCAGGTCCTTGTCCGCTTCTGCCACCGCTGACACCACCACCACAAGTCAACACCATGGTGGCGTCGCTTGTGGTTTCGTGATGCGGTAGCGGGGCGGATATGGCGGTGCTAGAGGCAATGGTGATGCGTTGGCAGTGGTGCATGATATGATCACGTATGAGTACACCAAAGTACACTCCCCCGCCAGGTACATCGTCGCCGCCACCGCAACGATCGATCTCGACCTCCAGAGAGCTGATTTGACGTGTATCAATTTATTTGAGTATTGTGTCTTTTGTACTCAACACTGACTCATTGAGAATGCATGTTTCATATGCAATTTATATATAGTGGTTCAACTTACGTTCATGGAGTGAAGGTAAATATGCACTTTTTGCACAGATTTCGACTTTGTTGACGACACGTATTCCTTCATGGGAATTTGTGAAAACTTGGATTATGTCATGAAAATGACAATATTTTCCACCGCCGAACATTTTGCTTTCAACTTGAACATGGAAACCACCGTAACTTTCTCTACGTCGATGATCGGTGACCAGGATAGTCCTGACTTGATCACGCACAGCGTGATGGATTTGTTGCTCACACGGATAGAGCCTTAAGTTGCTTCTTAATGCGAGCCTTTTCATTGCGGAACGCTTGCAACTACGCACGCGTGGTGAATACACAGTCTACGTGGTTTAGGGCGACCTACCATTTCTTTATCTTCGTCCGAGTGGGGAGCTTTTGTGGTCTTGAGTTCAGCGATGAACGTGCTTTCATTGGCACGTGCGAGCTCCAGCGCTTGGGTAAGGGATTCCACGGTTTCTTGAGTGGTAGTATGCGGTGACACGACCTCAGTGGGGTCGATGTCTGGCTCAGTTGCAGTCACAACCACGACTGCTTCCTTTCTGGAGATATGATTGAGTGAACTGCGCCGAACAAATCATCATAAATACGTACTTCTTTTCACCCGTGATAGCAGGGGCACCGCTCGGGACCGATTGACTGGCACGCCACACTTCGTACTCTTCCAGTGTCATGTTCTTTCCCTCGACGCCTTTGATGGGCAAAAACTTGCGGATCGGTTCGGGCAACACGTCAGGATCTTGGTAGATATACACAGACACACTAGAGCACCACCATTAAGTCAGCCTTATCGCTCATTCGCTTGTTCATCAGGTACCCGATCACACCAGACATTGCCAACAACTGAAAAAACGACGAGTTGTCGTTGCTTCCAGAATGGGGCGCAGGGCCCGAGCCAGAAGACATGGAGCGTCGAGCATGTGCCTACCCTTTAACTTTCAGATCATACATGTCCATGGTACGGCTTCCTTACCAAGCTTGTGCAGATGAGGCGGCGGGCAATCATGGGATTTGCGAGGAGGGACTATAACTTCTGGACAGGGAAGTCCGTCGTCGTTACAAAGACATGCGCAAGTTCGGATAAGGATTTCTTTGATACACAAGAATCCGGATAACTTGTCTTCTCCAAAATAATGCGTTTAAACGTGAATTCAGAACAATTTGGCGCATACCAAGACAGGACTTCAGGCAAGCAACAAACGTACAGTACCTCGATGGATGCATGTGGAGCGCGCAAGCCAAAGACGCGACACAAGAAGGCGAAGACACAGCTGATGCCTGTGGAAGCGTGTTTGAGGCGTCAGTCATTTGCAAAGAGGCAAGCCACAGTACACTTAACTTTTGCATGTGTACAATACAACAGAATAATTGCAGTTCACCTTCAAGGAAGTAGGGCAGAGGTCAATTGTTTTACCTCAACCGTGAGGCCTTTAGCGCATACGTCAAATAGGTCAAACCCACAAAACGACGGAGGCAAATGCACGTTTTCCGTACAATGGAAGATTTGTCAAATGGAAACAACACCCATGGTGGGGGCTCAGGTGACGGTTTGGTCACTTGGCCATGACCATGCACCACGTCCCGGTGGCCATCGCGGTGCCGATTACACCGACGAGTGACTACATCGATCTCCCACAAGCGGAGCTAAGGTCAAGCGATGCCACCAACGCCGCCGTAGCAATGGCGATTCACGTCTCCGACGCTTCTGCGCCGCCAACACGCGTCCCACCTGCCCCCCAACCTGGTCTCGAAGCAAGGCTCGACTTCCGAAAAGCTGTGATTTTCCAGCTCCTGTACTTCACCGTGAGCTTTGTGTTGTTCCTCCCGCCGTGGTTTCCTTCAGCCCTGGCATGCGCGTTTGGACTCCTCGGAATGTTCGCCAGTGACCTGCATGTGGATGTTCGACGACAGCGCGCGTCGTTGTTCGTTGCTATCCTGAATGGCGTCTTAGCCATGTGCTTTTTGTCCGACTTGGTCTTCAGCTCGATGAAGGCCTCCATCGATGCTATTGACCTGGACTATGCACATGCAATGCTGTGGGTACTGGACATCCCAGTTTTGCTATATACCGCGTCCAAGGCCATGGGATACTACAAGGAGCTTGTCGCGGAGCTTGCATGCGGCGTGACTGTCGTCGCATTTGCATCGCCACAAGTCACGCAAAGGTGAGTATATCACGTTGCCCTGCCTGTGTCGCCTTGACGTTTGCCATGAACCCTCCTCGCCATTCTAGCGAGATTAAGGACAAATTATTATTGCCGTGGTGCATGGCTAAGTTTCCCTCGTCGCTACATTTATTATACTCATGGCTCGTGCCCTCATATCCCTGTCACTGCTGAGCTTCGTCTTCCCATCCTTGTTTCCTCCATAGTCGTTCCTTTGCAGCGCGTGTCGCTGGTTCTCTGCAATATCCGGATGACGTAAACCTCTTCAAGTTGCATTCTCATGTCGTTAAACAGAGGTAAGTTGCTTGTCTGGATCACATTCTGAATGTTTCGTATGCAGGGAATGTTGGTGTTGTCAGTGATGTCATTAACAGCCTGTCGTTGCATGGTCGTTTCATGGGGCTGTCGTATCCGGATTATCTTCGACTTCTTCATGGCCCCACCGTTCAAAATCCCGTTGTGCCTATCGCAGGAGCAAGGTCTGGACCATGAAGGTGGCTGATTGCGAGAGCAATGACTCACACGCCGTGCATGTAGAATGTCCTACGCATATCTATTCAAGTACATTATCATTGGCGACACCGGTGTTGGCAAGTCGTGTCTCCTCCTGCAGTTCACGGACAAGCGATTCCAGCCGGTCCACGACCTGACCATTGGCGTCGAATTTGGTGCCCGCATGATCAACATCGACAGCAAGCAGATCAAACTGCAGATTTGGGACACGGCGGGCCAGGAATCGTTTCGATCGATTACTCGATCGTATTACCGAGGTGCTGCCGGCGCGCTCCTGGTATACGACATCACGCGCCGGGAAACGTTCAACCATCTCACGCGATGGCTGGAAGAAGCACGTCAAAACTCGAACTCGAATATGGCGATCATGCTTATCGGCAACAAATCGGACTTGGAACACCGACGTGCGGTAAGCTACAAGGAAGGCGAGCAATTTGCCAAGGAGAACGGCCTTATCTTCCTCGAAACGTCGGCGAAAACGGCGGCCAACGTGGAAGACGCTTTCATCAAAACTGCGCAAAAAATCCACGCCAACATCCAAGCTGGCATTTGCGACGTCACCAACGAGGTATGGTTACTTGGCAGAATCTCCATCTACATTGTGAACCTAGGCTCATGGCATCAAAGTTGGGATGACGGGCTCGGCCACTCCGACAGGTTTCGGCGGGAATGGAAACAACGCCAACAAGGGTGGTTGTTGTTAAACGATTCAATTGCAAAGGCAGTGTGTGCGGCCGACCAAGTCCGCTATTTGGTTGACGTCACAGATTGCTGATGTAATTCAAAGTCATTCCTTCCTCGCCTCCGTGTCTCCCTTCATAGAGCAACAGCCACCGCGCGTCATCATCCTTGCGTTATCGACCCCGATGGTCACCTTCGTGGCGCATCCTCCTGTCACTGTCGGTTTAGCGGCGCCGTTGGTGTTCATGTGCCGTTGCTCAAGTTCGAACTGCTTTTTAGATCGCACAGTCGTCTTTTTGACCAATCCGAGGTGCATCTGGTCAATCGGAGGAATTTTATTGGTCAATAAAAATAACTCTTTCCTGTAGAATTACGTTGAAAGATTCGCCATTGTTCCCCTGCGCAAGAGAATCGCCGCAGCAACCACTTCCAAACTCGAGCGGCAACACATCGCCATGAGCAACCCCTTCGAAGACCCTTCCGTTCGCATGGCAGCTACATCCCCAGAAGGTGCCGCAAAGGTGAGTGCGCCGTCCAACTTGATAGCATAGAGAACTGCAGCTCATTTCGAGAGCATCAACAGAAGCTACCCATTCCACAAAAACAATCGTCTTTCAAGGCAGCTCCAGTCGCGCCTGCTCATGCTAGCGTCATCAACCCTGCGCAAGTCGGTAACAGCGCTCCGCCCCCCGGAACGCCCAAGACTGCTGCTGAAAACCTCATGGAAGAAGTTGGCTCGTCGTAAGTCGTCGAACTTTTCTTGTCGGTCTTAAGGAGAGCTCACAAGTGTGCACACACAGGATCAAGAAGACTGACTCAGCCAAGATTCTCCGAGTGATGCAAACTATCAACATTATCCTTGCCGCACTGACTGTGACCGCTGGCATCTTGTCATGGGTCGCCGGCTACGTTGTGGACTTCCAGACGTTCATTGCATCCTCCTACATCATGTACTCGCCGTTTTTCACCGCAATCGGTTCTCCGGCTGACGCATTGTTGTGTAGTACGTTTGGGTTGTTGCTGCTTGGGTTTGAGCTGCGCACGGCCACCCTCGACGTCCTCCTCCGAGCCAATTTTGGGTTCATGTATGGCTACAAGACCCGCACGATCTTCCTCCTATTGTAAGCCTATTTGTCGATCTGCTTGACCTCACGAGACTCCAGCATCGCCATCTGGCCGCTGTCTATGGGGACGTACTGGGTCACAATCCTTGACGCGGTTCTGCTCTTCCTGAACGCGTTCTTCAACTACTTTGTGATTTCGAGCCATCCCGCGTTCTCGGGCGAGGCGCCGCCCGCATACGACGCCACGCGTGTCTCGTTGGGCACAACAGCCACCACGCTCGGCATCGTTGCCCCAGCCGACCAGGCCGGTTCGCAGGTCTAACTTTCCACCGTTTAAAGGTCACCTATTCTTTCCTATTCGATCGACCTTTCCAACAAGCCATGCAAAATTAGATGATGATTCATGTGCAGAGATCAGACGCACGTGCAGCACAGTTCCACTCACTGCGATGATGATAACATCGAACGACGGTCCATGGAGATGCGCAGTGCAAGTAGGCTCACCTAGAACCGGCAGCTCGTGCAAAGTCCTCGTTGACGGAAAGATAAGGTTCTATTTGTTCTCGCACGAATTTAAATCAACAGGTCGTCGCCGTTGGTGTGGAAGACCGCCGAGACGACCACAAAAAACGTGACGCTCCATGCCAACGCACGGCGTTGAGGGGTGAACGTCGACGACAGGGCGGCCGTCGTGCGCTCGTACAAGGTCTAGCCAGGCATAAGATGAAAACAACGCTGATTTCGTCACATACCTGGGGTTTGGCTGGGGTGCGCGCGAAAGCTGACTTGGACTTCAGACCGCCAAGCAGGCTGTTGGCAGTGGCGGCACCGGAAGGCGTCGGTTTCTGGCTTGCCTTCAATCGTTCATACCGCATGCGCGCCGAGCTTAACTCTTGGTCGCACAAGCGAATCTCCACATCCATGTCCGCCTTGGCCTTCGACAATGCGACGGCTTGCTGGGCGAGGAACTCGATTTCAGATAGTTCGAACGACGCCTGGACTCGCACGCGGCCTTCGACGACAGGGGCAGCAGCTTCCTTGACGGGAGCGACCTCAGCGGCGTCAGCGTCGATAGTTTCCTTCATTTCATCTTCAGCAACGACTGCGGTCACGACGGCGGCGACTTCGCTCTCTGTCACGACGACCTCTTTGGTCTCTTCATTCTGATCTTCGGCTGCTTCGACCTTTTCGTCGGCAACCTCTTCAACCTTATCGGCTTGTTCGACAGGGGTCACCTTTTCTTCCTTAGCTTCTTCCTCAGTGGCAGCTTCTGCCGCAGGTTCCTCAGTTTGTGGTGTTTGGACCGCTTCGTGGAGAGTTTCTGCAGGGACCTCCACTTCGGCTGCATCAGAAGTGGCCACAGCTTCCGTGGATGCCGCAGCGGCAGGAGCGATGCCAAGAACGGTCTCAGTAGTGGATTGGGTGGAGGTCGTAGCAGGAGCTTCGACGGCGGCTTCGGGTTCTTTCGCAACGGGTTCGGCCTCACCACTGGCCAAGTTGAACCAAGCGTCGACGTTTTCGCGGAAAAGAGAGGCAATGGGGATTGTAAATTCCTTCAAAGGCGTGGCATCGTCGTTGTCTTCGCCTACCGTGATGTATGCAACGGCTTCGCGTTGCTGCACTGCTTCGAACACAAACGTGGCAGGGAACACGTCCTTATCGGCCCATGCCACTTGGTTCTTCTTCTCTTCGTTGGATTCGTCAATTTCCTCAAAGTCAGGAAAAGATTCGGGCTCCACATACACCTTGATGACGGTGCCAGCGGGCATGTCGCCTTCGGCGGCGACGATTGAGAGCGACAAGGACCCCACTGTCTTGGCTTGATCGCCGCGGGCAGCATACGCGTCTTGGATCTGGTGCAAGATTTCGGTCATCTTGACCTCAATGTCCTTGCACATGTTGACCTTTTCATTCATGCGCTGGCGGGCGAGCAAGTAGTCGTGCGAAGCTTCCTGGAACGTCTTGCTCATCTTGATGGGTTCGCGATTCCGCCAAAGATGAATGGCGACGCGGCAATGGCAACACACTTATGGGGGTCCGGGTCCCCCTGAAACGACAGTTGAGCCCCCAAAAACCTCCAGAGGATACACGTATTTTTATTTAACGTCACGTCAATTTCACGTTTTATTCAGGCACACCAGAATAACCCACGCTCAACTGGTGGTAGTAGGGGCGGAAGGCGCTTAAATCGTGTATGGGGGGACCCACAAGGTACTCTGTGTAGACCTCACGACCAACATTCACGACGGCAAAACTTCCTGCGTCGTATTTCCAAATCTTCAACCGACCCCACCGACCTCCAAGCAGCGCAATGGCGACCGAATCTTCCTCCGAGTTCAGTTGGCCGCCTCTTGAAAGCAACCCTGAAGTCTTCACCGAGTACCTATATCAATTGGGCTTGCCATCCGACTGGTTTGTTGGCGAAATGTTCGGGCTGGACGATGATTCCCATGGCTTTGTCCCTCGCCCAGTCGTCGCTGTAATCGTTACGTTCGAGTCGCTGAAGAAAGACACGGCGGAAACTCCGGCAGTGGCGAAGGCAGATTTCTTCATGAAGCAGTCTCCCAAATTGGACTACGCCTGTGGTGTGATTGCCTGCATTCACTCAGTTTTGAACAACTTGGGCTCGATCACGCTAGTGGAAAACTCGATTCTTGAAAAGTACCACCGCACGACCAAGACTCAGTCGCCAGCGGATCGAGCGACCACCTTGGAGAACATGACGGAGTTCCAAGAAGTCCATACGTCGTATGCGTCGTTGGGTCAATCCACCGTGCCGTCGACTGAAGAGGATGTGAAGCATCACTTCGTCACGTTTGTTCAGAATGCCCAAGGGCAACTGCTGGAGCTGGACGGGTTGAAGAAGGGGCCTATTGTGGTCAACCCCTCGAGCACAGACATTCTCAAGGACACGGCGGCGGTGTTGCAGGCACGGATAGAAGAGGGGTACTACAGCGAGAGCCTTGCTGTACTCACACTTGCCAAGGTCGCGGATTAGGTGCAGTAGAGTACTCACAATTGTAGAGATAAGTCGTGCTTATCCATTCATCACGGGATGTATCTCTCGTCTTCGCGACGACGTATCTTCCGTCACCTAGCATGCACACAACCAACTCCTTCGCCGCCCCATAGATCGTGCTCTTTCGGCCGCTCAATGCTACAAACGTATCCGGATGAATCCGGATATAGATCGATTGGCATTCCTTCAAATTGAACTCCCAAATATACACCAACGACAACATGGCGGACAGCTCGATCGATGCCGCAGTCCAAGCGCTGGTGGACTCGAACAACGGCATCTTGGAAGTGTCGTCTGTGGAAAACAAGGACGGAGTCAAGGTTAACCGGATCAAGTGCACGGCGACGGGCCATGAAATGCCTCCTCGGGCGGATATCGTGACCGCCCACTTAAACTCGAAGCGGTTCAAGAAGGCGACGGAATGGTACAGCTACGACTTTGCGCAATTCGAACCATATATTGTCGCCCATCGACGCAAGCCGAAGTGCTTGTATTGCAACGTGACTGGGATTGTGCTGAACAAGATCCCCGCAGAGGTCGAGAAGCACATGAAAGGCAAAAAGTTTCTGCGGATGAAGGAGCACGTCAAGTTCTTTGACGAGGCCGAGATCGACAACGATGACGTACGATCAGGGCGCGGAAAGCGAATCCTTTGCTGTTATACGTTTGACGCAAAAGATGTTTTGTAGGACGACTTCGACGCAAACAAGTTTGAGTTTCTAAATCGGCAGTTGGTCGGGTCCGACGACGAGGAAGATAGTTCAGGCGAGTCGGACGACGAAGACGTCCCCAAGAGAAAACGCAAGGGCGGCAAGAAGGGCAATGATAGCGACGAGGACATCGACGCCATATTCTACAAGGACCACAGTGACGAAGAAGGCGACGACATCAAGTCGAACGAAGAAGGCGGTATTGAAAGTGACATCGCAGCTGACGATGACGACGAGCGTCCAAAAGCCACGTTTGTAAAGAAATCCGCAGCAACGTCAAGCAAACTGCCACCGGTACGTTACCTCGATGAGCTTTGAGGTGCTCATGTTTTGTGCGTCGTGGTTCATAGAAGCGAAAACAAGCGTCATCTGCAGTCAAACCAACCAAAAAGCAGAAAAAATAAAGATGCAAGAGCCCTGCAATTCCACACGTTTCGGAGATGAATATTT